GTCTTAATCAAACTTTACTCAATTGTAAAGCATGTATAAAGGAAATATTTAGAATAAAGCCAATATATAAACTTCCTTTCCGTATAGACGTATTTACGTCAAATTCTCCGGAACCGTGGTTCCACTGACAACTTTTTAAAGGGGGGGGGGTTCCTAAAGGTTCCCAGGCAGTGCCTGCTCGTCCTTCTGGTAAAGGCTGATCGAAAAGGTTACGCATGGGGGAAGTGTAGGAAGCAGAGTTATAAGAAGTGAATTCGAATGGAAGAAATTGCACAGGGTCTTGTTACATTCGATCAGATGTTTTATTTCTGTAGGTCATCTAAATATTTAAAAATCCAGTTCCCATCTAAAATAAAATAACGCGTCTCCATCATAAATCCCAATAGGTTAATTATGTTTTTAAGAAAATAATAGCTGTAATTCTGATAATCACACAACCATAGATATACTGTAGACGAAAAACAATGGTACCTAATGCTAAAGCAGGTGGTACGTACAGCATTACCACTAAGCATTTAAATATCAAACCCAGTACAAGAATAAGTCAATTGCCCTATTAGTTAGCACTCCTTCATATTTGGGAGGTCTGCCATATTGTATTTTCTTAGTAATTTAAGAAATCTAAAAGGGAGTTGAAATAACCCACATCTCTTTGATCAGTCTTTCATATTATCTGACATTTTCGATTAACCGACCGACCTACAGCATTGTTTAGATCGAATAATCAAGACTCTACTCCACCTGTGCTCATGATTTGCATGTATGAATTGAAAATAATTCCTTTTACTGTTTTAGCTATAACCAGTAGTCAACAAGATGGAAATCGGTGTCCGGTTCATTGGATTTGTCCAGATGGTTATGCGATGGCTAACGATGCCTTTCTACTTCATATGGTCATTGCAAAGTGTAAAAACACTGCCATCTATTAAGGATCCTATTTTACTGCAGAGTGCCTCTACGTTAGCCAAAAAAATCAGAAAAGGACAAGTGAGTAAACAAAACACGGGAGAGATGAGAAGTGCATACAAAATTTTGCTTGGAAGAGATAGATACAGATACGAGGGTAATGTCACAGTGATTCTTAAAGGATTGCATGATATGGACTGGATTCATCTGGCTTAGGATGGCAGATTCTTATGAAAATGTTAGTGAACTTCAGGTTACATTAATTGTAAGAAATTTCTTGAGTCAGTGAGCGACTATAAGGTTTGCAAAAAGGGATTCTATTCCATGGTGTTAGTTAAGTGAATGAAACTATTTTTGTAGAAAAGGAAATGCTATAAAATTCTGTGTTCCATGCGTAGAAACTACTGTCATATTCAAATTTCATGCAGCCACTGGGCCTATGTTGCAACTGTATTCACGCAGAGAAATCAAAGTCTATGTATGTGGTTGTTAGCTTAATGGGTTTAATCATAGTCTTGCTTGTAAAATGGGGCATTTCGAATGAAGGTGATGTTGGTAACAATGTCGAAGTAGCCTTGTGCCTGTGTCTTGAATCCTGTTCCTTACACATCATGTCAATGCATGTGTATATATGTTTCTAGGCTATGCTCACATGCATATATGTATGTAAACTATGTGTATATGCTACTAATGTATGGACAAAATGTTCAGGATATCCTTTTTGGTTGAACCTGGGATTAGATGAACAGTAATATCAGTTATTCGGTTTTTGTCAGTCTAATCACAATTCATATTTAAAATTTACAATTAAGATAATTAAAATATCATTTTATGTTCCTCATCAAACAATCGATTTAGAATTGGAACATCTTTCTACAACATGTTTCGGTTTCTATATAAACCATCTTCAGGTGTAAAAGTTAAAATTATAAACTTAAAACTTAATTACAATGAATCTGGAAGTGAACATCACCAAAAAGTTGCATATCAGAAATTGTAAATTAAGTTTTAAGTTTATAATTTTAACTTTTACACCTGAAGATGGTTTATATAGAAACCGAAACATGTTGTAAAAAGATGTTCCAATTCTAAATCGATTGTTCGATGAGGAACATAAAATGATATTTTAATTATCTTAATTGTAAATTTTAAATATGAATTGTGATTAGACGGACAAAAACCGAATAATTAATTAAATTTCACAATACGACGCAACTATATCATCTTAGTAATATCAGTACCAACAATGTTTCCTGTTGATTTTCCTGTGTTATTCTCTAACCTAACCTATCAGGTGATTTATTTATTTATTTGTGGCAATGTCAATACCTCAAATGATAGAATCGTTAATGAATTGGATAAAAGATAAGCAGGGAACCAGTTGCGGCCTAACTGAAGGTAGTATCCCAGCATCTGCCTGCAAGGACTGAGGAAAGCCATTAAAACCAATCAGGATAGCCAGTCTCAGGGCCAAGATTTGAATCCTGGACCTCCCAGATATGAAGCAGGGGTGCTAACCACTTGGCCACCATGTTAAGTCAGTATATCAAGGTCCATTCAAATTTATCAATGGACTCAAAAGATATACATAAAGGTTAAATCATGCATTTAAGATGAATGAAACTTAGAGATCTTCACGTTTATACTAGGAAAGTGTTGCGTGTAAACTTTTATCAGAATCTGTCTAAATGTCAGAACATAAACAGCAAAGTCCCTTATGCCCTCAAGTTAAATGGTCCTTTTAAAATATCCAAGTAAATCAAAATCAAAATGGCCTGATAATATTTTGTTTAGGTTCACTGTACAAAGTTTGATTTAAATCAGTCAGGTAGTCTAGTCCGTGTTACATGCAGACAAAAGTGTTGACAGATATGTGGGCCGGGCATAAGTAATAAGCAGTTTTCAGTTATATTTAAAGTACATGTAAAAGTTAATGAAAATGTTGAGAACTAGTCAAATACAGAGTGTCCGGATGAAAGGTATCCAAAATAAAAAAATATATCTCGGAAACTAATTGTCAAACACGTATCCGGTTTATGTCATCAGAAAGGAAAACTCTGAAAGTTTTTTTCTGAGTATATAACTTTCTCAATAAATTTCAATGTGGGCTCCCCTGGTGGCACGACAAATATCCAGACAATAGTCGACCTCGTTTCACGTTGCTTGAAGCATGTTTGGTGTTACCATAGCCACAGCGTCCCTTATGCGGGCTTTCAGGTGTTGAAGGTCGTTGATCTTAACCTGGTAGACAATGTTCTTCACATAACCCCACAAAAAAATCCAATGGGGTTAAATCTGGCGACCTGGGAGGCCAAGCGATTGGTCCACCTCTGCCGATCCATCTCCCAACCGGATACGTGTTTGACAATTAGTTTCCGAGATATATATTTTTTATTTTGGATACCTTTCATCCGGACACTCTGTAGTTATGCTAAAGAGTCATAATTCTACAAGTTATCATTAATTATAGTATTATAGTGTATGTTTCTAGACCTTCAGAATAATTATATTTTCCACCTAGACTGAAGTAATGTGCTAAACTTATACACATGTTAATAAAACGTAAGCAGTGGTAATCCATGAACAAAACCTTCGTAGTGAGAAGCTAAGTATAAATATTATTTCCTGTTAGCTTTAGAAATTATGAAGACCTTGACAAAATCAAAATGCTTAGTCCAGCAAGTAATTCCTCAATCTGTATGACAAGTGAAGGCCAGAACTGTCTTTAAAACCATTTCATTGTGATCTTGTTCCTTCTAAAGCTTAAATTTTTAATTTTTGACACAAAAAAAAATTTGTTTCTCAATAAGTAAACAAAACAAAGAGATATTAATTCAATAACAAACATGTTTTAGCTGAGCAGTGAGGATGTTGTACGAGCGTATATCACAAGAATAAAGGAAGTGAATCCTTACCTCAATGCTGTTGTAGAGGATCGCTATTCAGATGCTCTGCAAGATGCTCAAGAAGTTGACAGACTGATAGCTTCGCACTGTAAAACAGAGCAAGAAATTAAAAAACAAACACCGTTACTGGGAGTCCCATGTACTGTGAAAGAGAGTTGTGGTGTCAAAGGTTGTATAAATTCAAGTGTTAATATTGCCATATTTTCGGTTGTAACATAAATAAAATCTTAAATGCAATATAAGGACAGTTACTAACATTGAAATTCCTCTCAGTCTTCATCCAGTATTGAATAAAACACAATTGAATGAATATATCATTGTAATAAGACATTCTAAAGTACTGATACCTGTAAAGCACAAGACAGTAACATTTTAATTCTCTTACTTATAAAAATGCTTATGCAAACAGGATATATAAAACTCTTGTAAAAATGTGTATGCAAACAGGATATATAAAACTCTTGTCATTCAGTTTCTTCATTCATATATCAAGAAATATCATGATTGATCAAAATCAATGTAATGAACTATTTGAAACATAAAATAGGTTATACTGGATGTACCTTTTAAAACATAACCTAACAATAATGACATACTATAGTATAAAAAATAAATAAGAATCAGGTCCACCTCATTATAATAGATTCTATCATTAGCCCTCTTTCTGTGTGAATTTCTTAAAGAAAGAGTTTATTCAAATAACCTACAAAGCTTCAAGGAATCAAAATGCAATACTGAATAACTTATTTTAAATGGAATACTCTGTATTTACACTTTACATACTCATGTTAAGGTTGGGGCAGGACACCATTTTGCTTATTCTTCACTGAAACTGGACCACTCTTACCCACATCTTTCTAACATATCTTTTACCATGCAACTACTTTGATGTCTACATTCCTTTTTTTAAAAATATTTACTGGTCTAAAGTAAAGTATGCACAAACCATCTAGATGCTTTCTCTTTCACTTCAAACACTTGTATAATAAGTTCTCTTCTATATTTTCCTATACCTTAAGTAAACATCACAGAAACTGCCATTACTGGCTTTGCTTTATCTTTCAAGAGACAAAGAGAAAATATATTCCTAACCCTTTTCTGTGTCAATAAAAAAACAGACTACACAAACAGAAGCTAGTGAATACATATTTAACCACTGCTATATATACTGGGAAAGTGATTCATTCTCATTCCACAGTCAACTTGTACTTTATCTCATAAGAGTAAAAAAACAAAGCCTTTTAATGAATAGATGTTTACAGATTTGTGAAACTTTATAATTTGCATTCTTCCTCAAATTATACTAGGAAGATGAAATCAGGGAGGCTGAGATGGGAGGGGCATGTAGTGCACACAGGAGAGATAAGAAAACATAAAAAAATTTGGATGGGAAACCTGAAGGGAAGAGATTACTCAGTAGACATAGGTATAGATGGGATGATAATATTCAAACAAATCTTGGGGAAGTAAAGTTGAAGAGTGTGAATTGGATTCATCTGGCACATAACTGAGACTGGTGGTGGACTCTCATGAAAACGCTAATAAATCTTATGGTTCCATAAAGGCGAGGAATTTCTTGACTAACTGACCTTCTCTGGGAGACTTTTGCTTTATGGGACTGGTTATTTAGAAGAATTTCATATTTCAAAGAGTTAAACGAGGATTCTCTGCAATTAATAGAGTATTAATAAGTAAGATGACTGTTTGCGATGTTGCGCTAGTAATTACAATGATGATGGAGGCAGCAAGCACCTCTGAATACCAGAAGACAGTCATTGTCATACTTGCTCATCTGAGAAACTAAAATATCACCAATTTTATCATTAATAGTTTATAAACCAAACATACCTTTCCAATATTTCAATTGTTCTCTAAAGTAAAATATTAACATTATAACCTGAAAACTATATTTCACTTTGCATTAAAGTTGGTTCTGTAATAGTAACTATGTTGTCTCTAATGTATGTAAATCTTTTGGATAAATGTTGTAAATACTCTACTTACTGTGAACTCTTTAATGTATCATAAAGAAATGCTGTTGGAATATATGTATATTAATTATAATATTCTTAGGTTATAACATTATATGTGTAAGGAACATGGCATTCAAAATTGTAACATAGCCTGCCATGGTACATGATTAACATAACTCCATACCAGAAAAATGTATTTATTGTATTTAGATACTGTTATAAACTAATTTTACCTTTTATTTTGTTTATAAGGCATGAGCCAGTGTGTAGGTTCTTTAACAAGATGTGGAATTAAAGCAGATAAAGATTCTGAGGCAGTGAAATTAATTAGGAAAGCTGGTGCTATTCCTCTGCTGGTCTCAAACACTCCAGAATTCTGCCTCAGCTGGGAAACAACTAATATGGTCACTGGAAGAACACTCAATCCCTACAACTTCTTAAAAACTGCAGGAGGTTCTTCTGGTGGAGAGGTAAGGTATAAAACTGGTGGAGAGCCATGGTCACTAAACTTGAACACAACATGTCTGAATCTGAAATATAGGAGGTAATGGTGGGCAAAAAAACAAAACAAAAAAACATGGTGGCCACACACACATATGGTACTTTGTACTGATTATCTAGCCTGTTTATATGGGGGGGAAAAATGCTATTCATGTGAAATTTAAAATGAGGAAAAATTATCAACACCTACAAATTTTGTATATTTTTACTGTATGTTGAAAATTTCAAATATCACAATATGTATCTTTGAGGTTATATTTGACAAAGTATTTAGATATAGAAAAAACACATGCACAACTTTGTATAGGCCATTAAATTGAAACGTAAAATGTAGAGCTGTCCTGGTGCTTAACTATGCACCACCACCATACAGACATAGTCCCCTACCCACTAGTAGGAGGTGGGTAGTTAGATTCATGTCCTGACTGCTTTACTCCCATGCATAATAATATATTAACAGTTTTTTTCAAAAAATTGAATAAAATTTAATTTCAGGGTACATGATGTTAAAGGATGCTGTACTTACATATTTTCCTCACATTCGGTTCTCAACTTTAATATATAAATCCTTTCAAATGTTTAAAATAATAACACACATAAAATTGTGTTTAATGTGTAATCCATTACTAGTTCATACAGAAAAAATGTCCTGAAGAATAAGTCAAATAATTCTTTTCCAATTTATTTTCTTAAAGGCTGCATTGATAGGTGCTGGTGCTTCAGTGATTGGTGTTGGTTCTGATGTGGCTGGCTCTATTCGTATCCCAGCAATGTACAATGGAATCTTCGGTCATAAACCAACTCCAGGTAAGCAGGCCTCCCTGTATAAGCACTACTTTGCTCCTCACAAAATAAAAATAAATTTATATTAAAACATCTAAATACAAGACATTTCATGCATACATATCTTGTTTTATTACATACATGAATGTCTTGTAATGACGTTGCTGATATATGGGAATATTAAAAATGATAGACATTTGAAGTATTTATTTTTGGATTTCTCAGAATTTCTTTAACTTGAGTAGACGCTTAAAAATGTATTCTAGTGTTCCTCAGAAAAATGTGTGTCTTTACACATCTTATTTTCTGTAACTTTTGATTCTTTGTTACAGAAACTCTAAAGAATGTTTAATTGCAGTTCTCATAATATTTATAATTAGAAGTATGGAATAATCAGTTGGGATGAAACTAGAATAATGTATGTTATGTCTCATTAAGTTCAAGAGATGGACTAGAGAGTAAAGAATAACTTGCATTTGGACCAAACCACAACACTTTTAATGCATATAGGGGAACAGAATAAACTCCATGCAATATTAACCTTGGTACTAATTGAAGGTGAGTAGTCAGCTTTATGCTCCAACCACTCTTCCCCTTCAAGAAACAGCCCCCTTTATACTCACCAAATAAGATGCTGGGTATGTCACACAATCAGTCCAAATACAATGATGAGGAGGAGAAAAATCCTTGCTCTGGCAGCAAATCAAAGCCCAGCAGCATAAAGCCTGTGTCATTACTCTACTGGAAAAGCTGTCCCAGTAACTTTGAAGAGATGTAAGGATTAATTTTATTTCTCTAACTGACCAATAGCACCATGCCTAAGGATTGGCTTGGTACTAAAAAATATTGCAGGACTTGTGAAAAGCAAATATAAATTTATTATTCTTTCCTGAATACAGGTTATGTGTCTATTGATGGTCACTTCCCACACGCAACAGATATAGATTTTGATAAGTATCTTGTAGTGGGACCAGTTTCTCGATATGCTGAAGATCTTAAGCCCATGCTGTCTATTATGGCAGGAGACAGGGCTACCGAACTAAAACTATATGACCAGGTATGTTAAAACAGCTAGGCATTTACAGAACTCTTGACAAAGGAACAAAGACTTAATTACCTGAAGTTTGTGTGTTCTGTTGTATTTTGACAGTTCATCCATTAACACAGCACACACTTGTTTTCAGAAATCCTAACCAATTATATTACCATACATTAACACAGCACACACTTCTTTTCAGAAATCCTAACCAATTATATTAACTCAATTTCATAATGTTTTCACCCAATCTTGGGAAAAGTAAAGAACTACAAAACATTGTTTCACTCAGAGACATTATGTAAAACAATATCAAGTGGAATGTGTTTCTTAACATCATCAGCAAGACACGCCCTTTTTGATCATAAAATGAAACCAATAGTAAAGAATTAATTTCATATTTCATCAGTAAAAAGCTTAATAGCACTAAAACAAAGCTGGAAAGTGCTTATAAAAGAATTAATTTTGACACGATATAAACAACAATTATAGTTTCAACCCAGGATGGGAGATACTTATGAATAAAGACCCCCCCCCAAATTATATATATAATATTAATAACAAACCACCAACTTAATGGGAAAAGACTAGTTGTATTTCAGTGATGTAAGTAACTGAAAAAGAGGCAAATACATTATATTAAAACACATGCTGAATAATCTTAATCTTTAAAGCACAGAATGCACATATTTTTATGAAGCATTCTACTAGTTACAAGTGTCACACGTTAAACCATCTGTATTAAATTTGAATAAAAACATACCTTCTTATCACCCTCTATCTTATAATAAACTATGAGAAAATATTTTTCAGGTTACACCCTGCTTTGCAGATGACATTGCAATAATAGCAGATTCAGAATGTGAAATGAACAGGATGCTTGGAATATTTAACAAAACCTTAGAGAAGTTCAAGCTAAACATAAACACAAAGAAGACAAAAATCATGGTAGTAGACAAACAAAAAGATGGAATGAAGGCAAATATAAGAATAGGCAAAACAAGATTAGAACAAGTCAGGGAATTCTGCTATCTGGGTAGTGTGATTGACACCGAAAATAGATGCCTTACCGAGGTCAAAAGAAGGATAGCGATGGAAAAGCAAGCGTTTCAAAATAAGAGGAACCTATTATTAAACAGACACATCAGTATAGATACTAGGAAGAAATTTGTTAAAACCTTTGTTTGGAGTGTGCTGACATATGGATGTGAGACCTGGACTTTAGGGAAACAAGACTTGAAGCCGCAGAAATGTGGATTTGGAGAAGGCTAACAAGAACAAGTTGGATGGAAAAGAAGAGTAATGACCAAATACTAAAAAAAAATGAAATAAAGGATGAAAAGAAATTACTGAAGGCAATAGGAAAGGGAAAAACAAAGCTCCTTGGGCACATATTGGGACACGACACATTCCTCCAAAACATTTTTGAAGGTAAGGTGTTAGGGAAAAAATCGAGGAGACGACCAAGAATGTTCTACCTTAAGAACATGATCAGTGAGATGGGATGCGCTTCATATGCTGGCATAAAGAGGATCACAGAGGACCGAAGGATGTGGCTGCAGCGACAAGGCGTGGCCTTTATGAAATGATGATAATGATGACCCCGGTCTAACCTGTTACCCTGGAGTTGGTTTACAGTAATTCGGTGCAGACACTTCGTTAAAGTCACTAATACTTAGGTTCACTTTTAGGTGGATCTTCATAATCTGAAGGTGTTTTATATGGATGAAGCCGGTTTCTCTCTGGTCATGCTGCCTGTAGAACAGTGTATTAAAGATGCTGTACACATGGCTGCAAAACACCTTAATAGGAAGTACGGTATGCCAATAACAGAGGTAAGATTCAAAGTTACCTGTATAATCACACAATTGAAAATTCAAATATACTGGCATGTTGTGATACACTCAGCATGCAGTAAAGCTATTCAGTACTTTTCCAGCTGTAACATTTCATAAATATTTCTACAGAATAAAGCAGGTTACTTTTTACATATCTTCCTGCAATCATTTACTGATACGATAATTGCAAGGTTCATTAGAGAGAAGAACTTAAGCACAGACTTTAGAAAATTTATAATAGAAGTTCTAGAACTTTACCAGGAAAGAATTCACTGAGAGATCATAAAATGTGTAAACAATGAAGGCAAAATGTTCAGTCAAAATGGCAAAATAAATAAATACACAATCCAAACCCCTCCTCTAGAAACTGTTCCAATACACATCAAATACTGAACATAGTGATTGAGTAGTTACCACTCCTACCTCATATTTAGGTCCAAGGTTCAAATCTGAGTCTAAAGATTGGCTATCCTGACTGAGGTTCTTCATGGTCATCCTCAATCAAGGCACATGTCTTTATAATAATATAAATCTAGGTATGATTGCTTCTTTCCATATCCCTTCTGAATCATTATTCATCCTCATACATATTCTGAGCTACTGACAGCATTGTTAAATAAACCACAAACAAATAAATCAATAATATGCATCAGATGTTCAAAATTGTGACAGATGCTTTTGTTGTTTGGGCATGAAGTTTTATCTCTCATTGTAACTAAAGGACATAAAGGATATTTGAACAGGGTGCTAAGGGGAATATTAGGGCCTGAGTGAGAGGATGTAGCGGAAGCCTAGAGAGAAATGTTCAACGTGCAGAATCATAAATTATACTATTTTCCAAATATTATTGCAGTGATAAAATCAAGAAAAAATTAGATGTGTGGGACTTGTAACCTAAATGGGAGACATGAGAAATTAGATGAAAATTTTTGTTGAAAAATCTGAATAGGTTCACTTGGGAGACGAAGGCATAAATGAAAGGATAGTGTTAAAACCGATCTTAAAGAAATAGGATGTGATGATATGAACTGGGTTCATGTGACAGGCTCTTGTAAACACAAAAATTAACCTTCAGATTCCATGAAAGTAGGGAAGTTAACTGGCTGGCTGACTATTAGCTTCTCAAGAAGGACTTCACATCATTGGAACAGTTAGACATTACTTTTCTTAGTAAAAGAAACTTAAACTAAATTTACTGTGTTTTATTTTTCATTGTTCATACTGTACATTGCAGTATGAACAGGTATATGTTAACGCTGAACGAATTCAAACAATGGGTCTTTATAATTGTTTTAATGTAGATTAATTTTAAGTATACTATTTTTACAGGGCGGTTTCAAAGAAATGGAAGATTCTACTGAGATAAGCAGTTCTGTCTTTTTTGGTTTACAAGGAATACCAAATCCATTAGAAGATCCTCAAAACCCCAAGGTCAGATATCAATTATGTAAAATTAAGTACACCTCATATATATCAAAATTAGAGTGACATTATCAGCTAATAATAAAACAAAATAAGAGTTTTAGAAACCTTAATATGGAAGTGAAAGCTAAAGTTGGAGAAAAAAGTCCTATAGGTGGCTAGGATGACAGTACTCAAGATTTCTTCTTATCTGTCTACTGTTATACCAGCCTAAGTCAGCCATTCCTAAAGTACTTGTTCCTAGCAAATGTTATCATGAACATAATTCCTGTAAACAAAATGGCTAGATGGCTGGAGGGGGAAATGTAGAGGGAGTTGATCCGTGGGGCTTCTGTGGATATAATTTATAAAAAACTAATCTGAGAAGACACAAAATCATGTTAACACAGTAATAAATGTTTGGGCTCCATAAAAGACACAGAATTTGTTTGACTAGCTGAGTGACTGTTACCTCTCAAGGACTAAGCTCCATGGAGTTACATTAATTTTTTAATTACAACAGATCAAAATAATTATTTTGCATGTTTCAGGGGTCACAAAACTTGTTCCTGGAAATATTGAAGGCACTATTTGGTGTATCCAAGTATTCATTATCTCTCTTAGGATTTTATGCGCTGCAAGCCACGAATGTATTCATTCCGAGATGGAAGTATAAATACTACTATGACCAGAAAGAAGCACTGAAGAGAAAATTTACAGTAAGAAATTAATATTTCTCATATAATTATTATACTTGGACTTCAATTACATTTCAGCATTTTCATTCTGAATATAATCTTAATTCCAGGATGTTCTTGGGGACAATGGAATATTCTTATATCCAACACATCCTACTGCTGCCTATTACCACAATCAAATGTATACAAAAACTGCTGGAGTCATGTATACAATGATATTTAATGTGTTGGGATTACCATCAACACATGTTCCTCTTGGGCTCAACGACGACGGTATGCCCATAGGGATCCAGGTATGTATAACTACTGAAAATTAGGTTTATGCTATAAAATAAGTTCCTAATTTTGTGTTATTTGTATAATGTGCATGAAATGAACACACATAGGACTGACCATGTCTGTATTTCTGTCTGTCTACTCGCATGATTCAACTTGAGACCTGCTGGACAGGTTACGATAAAATTTGGTATGGACATGTCACTGGGGGCTACGATAAATTTGTATATTTCAATTTCTTGAACCTGTGAGATGGGAGTAACATACCACCACTTAATATAGGATAATATGATATATGGTAATATAATCTTTGGTACTGTAATTCTTTGTAAAATAAAAAATAACGTAGTGTCTGCTCGAAACAGTAAAAAAAAAAACTCTTTTGACCAAGATTCAACCCCATGACCATCAGCACATGATTCTAATACACTAATACATAGCTAACTCACATTGAGTTATGTCACTGTGGGTTTATATTATCTAAAAAATACATTAAGAATACATGATCTGTGAAGTTAGTAAAGTAATGTTAACGCATTTTCTTTTGTGAATAGTTAATTTGTTTTTAAAATTAACAAGTTAAGAGATATTTCAACATATATTACTAGCGACACATTGCATTTATAGACTAGTCTGTAATACGTACAGAGACAAAGTGAAGGTCCTCTATTCAAAACCATGCCATTCTCTCAAAAATCATTTTCTGATAAATGAATCAGCAGAGAAGAAATAAAATAGCATTTAAAACATCTGTTCATGCATTTTAGTGATGATAACAGTGATAATGGCGGAAAGCACTTGACTGGAATTAAATTCACTCAAGTTTCATTTGTGAATAAGAAGACAAGTATGTAAGAGTGCGTAAATAAATATGATGCTGAAAACATGTAACGGTTTGCTTTTATGAGGTCTGCGATTGGCTGGTATGCTTATGTGGATGACACTCATTGCATAGCTTGTATAATTCCCCACATGCAGATTTTAACACTATGTAGGTTTCTTTCGATGTGTTTCCAAGTTCTGTGCAGAATCATTCAACTGTTCCTTCACTAACTGACTGACCAACTAACTCCATGTAGTACAGTCCTGAGTCAGATCGATCCAGTCGTCACTGTCCCATCATAAGACCGATTTTGATATTACTCCCATTAAGTAGTGTCTTTCCTTAAAGCTTTCTAATAATTTTTTGTATCTCCCAATGTGTGCTACATGCCCCACCCACCTTATATTCCTTGATTTGACCATACTGATAATATTTGGTGAAGAGTATAAATTATGGAGCTGTTCATAACGCAGTGTTCTCCAGCCTGCCGTCACTTCATACCTCATATGAATTCAAAGTATTAAACACATCCGTGTATTACAGGTGGTGGCAGGCCCACATCAAGATCGGCTATGTCTCGCAGTCGCAGAAGCACTTGAGAAAGATCTGGGTGGTTGGATACCTCCCCCAGCAGAGCTCTCTGGAAAAGCATAACTATACGAATGAAATATAATGACTGCACTCTGATTGGCTCTGGTTATATAAGAAGTTAATTTATACATTTGGGTTTTGATTTTCATGTAAAGTATTTGTTTCCACACATGATTCTTAAAAATAACATGTAATTTCCAAAAACAGAAAATGTTACCATGACGTGTTTACTTTCATAAGATAACATGAAGAAGGTTGTTATTTTTATTAACTTTCATTCTTTCATGGTTGTAGTTGCAAATAATATTGTATCCGTTTACTTAATTCAGTATCCCTCCATTACTATGATGGGAAATAGCCAAGGAAATACAAAACAACACATATCCAGGAAGAAGGCACGCAAGATCCAATTCTAACAATGTTTAACACTGAACACACAAGGCTGTGATAAATACAGAGTGTCCGGATGAAAGGTAACCAAAATAAAAATATATATCTCGGAAACTAATTGTCAAACACGTATCCGATTTATGTCATCGGAAATGAAAACTGGAAGTTTTTTTCTGAGTATATAACTTTCTCAGTAAATTTCAATGTGGCTCCCCTGGTGGCACGACAAATATCCAGACGATAGTCGACCTCGTTTCACGTTGCTTGAAGCATGTTTAGTGTTACGTAGCCACAGCGTCCCTTATGCGGGCTTTCAGGTGTTGAAGGTCGTTGATCTTAACCTGGTAGACAATGTTCTTCACATAATCCCACAAGAAAAAATCCAATGGGGTTAGATCTGGCGACCTAGGAGGCCAAGCGATTGGTCCACCTCTGCCGATTCATCTCCCAGCCATCTCTCTGTCCAGGTGATTCCTAACATGGTGGCAGATATGTGGCGGCGCCCCATCTTGTTGGAGGATAGTTTGAGGTGGTAATTGGGGCAGTGCATACACCTCCAGCATGTCCAAGTACGAACGTCCGGTCACAGTCTTTTCCGAAAAGAAAAACGGCCCAATCAATTTGTCATGCATTAAGCCGGCCCACACGTTCACTTTGAGGCTGCCTCTCTCCAACTCAAATGTGACACGTGGATTTTGACTGCCCCAAATCCTGCAGTTGTACCTGTTTACAACTCCAATGACATGGAACGTCGCCTCGTCCGAGAAGCACACTTGGCGGAGGAAATAGGGTGACGCGTCAATTCTTTCTAGCATGTCCACAGCGAAGTTTGTGCATGCTACTTGGTCAGTCGGTTTTAGTGCATGAATCATTTGAATCTTGTACGCTCTTAGGCGGAGCCTTTTGTGTAGCACATCGTGCACTGTTGAACGTGGAATTTGTAACTGCAAGCTAGCAGCACGAATTGATTTGCGCGGACTTCGCTGGAATGCCTCTCTAATGCGATTGACATTTTCTTCAGAGGTCCGTGTCTTTCCAGGCGATTTTACACGCAACAGATTACCTGTAGTCCTCAGTTTGTTGTCCCAGAACCGAATGCTTTTCCGTGTAGGAGGTTGACGTCCATACTGCGTTCTAAAACGACGCTGAACAGCCGTAAGAGATTGCAACTCTGCTAGCCACAACACGCATTGAACCTGTTCCTGTGGTGTCAACATCATTATTGAGCTCGCCGAAGGTCACCAGCTGGCGCATGCGCGTAGGCCGGGCATGAGAAAAAAAAACTTTCAGAGTTTTCCTTTGCGATGACATAAACCGGATACGTGTTTGACAATTAGTTTCCGAGATATAATTTTTTTTATTTTGGATACCTTTCATCCGGATACTCTGTTTAAATGTACATCTTTTTCTGTTAAAGCAATTTTCCCTCTAATCCTAATGCATGTGTGTAGGTGTCTATGCAGAATACTTACAGAATAAGTTTAAACTCTTAATACACTATATTATGTTCTCTGTTATGACAAATATTCAGCTTTGTTTGTACACAGGTGTCAGAGTATAATAATTCATCAAGTAGCCAGGAAGCTATGGTGTCATTATTACATATTACATTCAGTTCCCATGAAGGCTCTGTACATAACCGACAATGTAAAAGAATGTAAGTGAAAAATTATTTAAGAAAACAGAAACTTCAAATAAAACTTGGTTTCGTGATTAATACTTTCAGTTTAGGAAACAATGATAATGAAAGAAAGTTAAATTTGTGAATTTCACAAAAAACTACTGATGAAGATGGGTTTCTTCTGAGTTGTTGTGTGAGAACCTAAACTCTCATTAAAGGACTATTCTCATATCAGTTCACTGTGGTCCATAAATCATTACTATCTTAATATTACCATAACACAGGCATGAAAAATGCTTGGGAACGTAGTAAAGTCATCCCATTATATGCCAACGTCAGCACTGGTAGAGGAGGTTTACAGCTCCTACTCATTCTCAACCTTGACACTAGGATGGGGTGAGTGGTCAGCAGGACACCCCAGCCATGCTTTACCCTCAGAAGAGGACTCCGGTATCAATTGGACAGGATGTGTGGGCCCCAGAGTCAGTCTGGATGCAGAGGTTAAAAGAAAATCCTCTGCCTCTGTTAGAATTGAACCCCAGTCACTATACTGACTCAGCTACCCAACTCACATTTGGCAACCAAGTGAGCCCTCAAAACATTTTTTATGACTCAACCATGAATCGTCTTGTAGCCCCACACAATGCCCCCTAATCCCATATGATAGAGGTACATTTTCTAAATGATATGTTATATCAATGATGTTAATATAATAGCAAGACAAGGGGAAATACAATTTGTAAAGGACACAAAACAAAATAATATGTAGAACGTGATATGTAAAGGAATGAATATCGTATCTGATTTTGATTTCATATATGAAGAAGAAATGAACAGTATCACAACATCCATTAAATGTATCTCCTCCTTTTTCCAAACCCATCCCTTCAATTTAAAATCCAATGACAAAAATTAAAAGCTTTACATTTTAAGCTGTAGTTTTCACTTACGATGGAGAAGTTCTCTGCATTATCATAGACAAAGAATTATAACACACATACATATGCCATTTATCCATACATAAATGTAGTTTCAACAGTAATTCCTACTTAACTTAAGAGATAATTCTTAATGCAGATGTAGCTCATGGGACCCACATATGAGTTATCACACTTTTCACACAAGATACTTTCAGGCATGCATGTGTAAAAACACACACCCACTCTTTTAAGTATTTTTCAGATACATAATTAAAGGATATGTGGGAATCTTTTCTGACATGCTTACTTTTCTGCTAATACCATTTTATTTAAAATTTATAAGTAACATATTGCAATTTCTATTAGCAAAGCACACTGTGACTACTTTTAAAGCTTATGCACTTACAAAATAACATACCTTTCAGGTAACTATGGAGAATTTTACAGAGGCTCAGAATCTGTACATTTTCTTAATAATTTGTATGGAAATTAAGTATTTTGTGAAACATTAAATTCTTGCGTATTTCTTCATTTAATGTATTGTGAAAGGGTGAATATCTCTACAATTAATATTTTTTTCTTATTCCTAAACAATTTCAAAATATTTATTAATCTACACAAATCACAAACAGAATAATGTCAAAAATATCTTTAATATAAATTATGACAAAAAAAATCTTTCACTTCTTTCATTCACATGTTTCTACAAAATACACAGAACCTGCGCAATTTTTAGCATTAATGTGGTGATACAAGAATACTGACTGTGGACACCTCGTATTCAGAATTTCCATCATTCTAGCTGCCATAGGTTACATATTAGTTCTTTCCCGAGGCATTATGAAAGCTGGTATGTTCTGTTTTTAAGAAACACAAATAGTATAAGGCACAATGTTCTAATTCCCATAACAGTTGCTATAAATAACTTTTTATTCCCTGAAGTGTTTGAAATTTGTTAGTCATTTCAATTAGAAAGTCCACTGTAGCAAACACGATTAATGAGTTGACTAAGGACACAATGACAAATGCATAATATAAGGCTATTCGGCTGATTAAAGTTGCCCAAGTCTGAAATTATAATTCTCCTCTTTTTAAAACTACGGTTATTGAAGAAAACAGTACTGTAGTTACAACGCTGGGATATTTGTGGGTACTTTTTCACATGTGGAATCCTAAATATACCTCTAAGTTAAATTAAATATGCCATACAAAGATTGGCAACTGCTTCACTGATTAACACAATAATATTTTATATTGCGCCACTTAGACCCACATACAATCTCAAACTTTATACAGACACAAAAAAGTAATATGTATACATCTCATTTCCATTTATGTTCAAGTTCTAATCATAAGCAAGTTATTCTGAATGAAAATACAGAGAAATAAATTTCACAACGTATGTCCAGTTTTGCACAACTGGCAAAATGGCATGGAATGATCCCTGTGATTTTAAAACATAACAAAATTAACGTCCAGCTGTTTCATCACTGGTATAAATATAAACAGTTGTAATAGTGGTTAGGGGAATAAATGAGACAATATCAGTGGAAATTTATCCCAACCGTACCCAAAAATTAAGCCCTAAGCCATGCTTAAGCTTGTTCGAAAGATAAAAAATCTCTTCCTTGTCAGATGACAAGTATTTCTTGTGCAGTAATTCTCAGACAAGCTGCATATTTGAACAGGTTCTCTACCCAGGCCAATAAATGTAGATGACATCTCCTGACTTAATACTGACAAACAGTACGCTGCGGGGTATATGTTGTCCTTTCATGTGATTATATTCATGTTAGATTATTTTTTTAAAATTTCCAAGCATATTTTATATACACACAAGAACATGGATGACTAGGCTTGCTTTGAAGTGTATTAAAATATTTCAGATATAGCACAATTAGATTTACACTTAGAATTTATAGATTTGTTTGAATAAATTAATTTAAATGGGCCATCATACTGCCAACTTACCAACCAAACTAGCCATCACCTAGTTTATCAATATAGTTCAGTTGTGCCCTTTCCATCCAAAGATTTTGGCAGTGTATCCAACCTCATTATTTGAAATTAACTTTTGACATTTCTATCTTAAATTGCATTCAACACACTACATATAAACAGCATATTTTTAACAGAATCTAACATACTTTTTTTTCCAGTTTATTTCTGTCATTTTATATTACCTCTGAGAATGAAAGACAAAGAACTATGTTAAACTTCCTTCCATCCTTTGTACCAGCTCCATCACCTGTCATTTAATTTCAGGAGACAAATCTCCATCATTATTTGAATACAAAATTTAACATTTTGGATACATATAAATCGGCTATTCTTACATTTCTGTAACGTTTACTTCTTACGGTTAGCTGGTGCTACATACTCCTTCCCCCCATGTCGTTCCCATTCTCTGTTAAACTCATGTTCAAGAATCTCAGCACCACGTTTCCTTGTGAGTCCAGTCTCGTCAAGACTCAGTTCACACATCTGCATGTCATCAACACCTGCAACATGAACACACATGCAAATATATATAGGATATATTATACTAGATCAGACTAAAGACAATACAAAACGAAACAAAATTTGATGTATGAAAATTATTGTACAGAGAGTTAAGCAGGCTGCCTGGTAGAAAAGTGGCGTGCACATGCATAAAACCCTTTCCTATTTTTTGACGTAAATACGTCTATAAGGAAGGGTCATTCGGCAAAAATGTGTTACGAAAAAGGGAAACGAAATAGTGTAACTTCATTGTTATGTTACCTAGGAAACCTCATCTGTTTACTCGGCATTATTGTTACCTATAAAACATTATCTTACCTTACATTACATTACATTACAATACATTACTTTACATTACATTCAGCTACCACAGACCCATCTTAAGCGTAACTAATTCAAGTTAAATAATCAATGTCTTAATAAAACTTATCTCAATTGTAAAGCATGTATAAAGGAAATATTTAGAATAATGCCAATATATAAACTTCCTTTCCGTATAGACGTATTTACGTCAAATTCTCCGGAACTGTGGTTCCACTGTCAATTTTTAGTGGAGAATATTTGTGACATTTCTCACAAATATGTCTTGCTTTCCACTGCTCTGCTGTTCATAGTATTGCTACTCATTTATTTGTTCTGTTGTTACTGTTACTATTTTATGATAGTACTAGTGTTATAAATGATTACGCGTAATGCTTACATCACTTGGGAACAAGCAAGTTTTTTGGTCTGTTAGTAACAAAACTCATGACTTCCCTGGCCACATACATCACAGGCATTTACTTAATTCTCACAGGCATTAGGTAGACTTTAGGGGAATACACTTCCTGACAACATATTCGAGAAGCAGCTCTGGTCTTGTTTCAGTCTTCAGCAGCATACTGTTTTGTGCAGATGTATTTTGTGTCACACTGTATGCTTGAGGTTAAAGAAACATTAAATTCTGAAAGAAACTAGGGACAACAACCACACAAATATGCACTGGACTGAAGTTCTTCATAATTACCATGGACGGAAACTGAACTGGGATCTCGTTTTCTAATCACATTACTGCCTTCCTGCTCACAGCAGTATGGTTTGAGATCTGTATAACTGTTCCATATCTGACAGCTGCAGATATTCTGATCATTATAATGAAGTTGGATTTTGTTAATATAGCTGTTTCAGTACTACAGTGAATTCGGTCTTCAGGTAATTTGCTCCTAGTCTGTAAAACTTCATTAATTCTTTGTTTGAATATAATTTATGTATAGAATGTTAAAAATCAATGCTGCAAGTTGTTACAAAAATAATACACATACCAATCAACTGAATGACCCTAGAGAACAGTGTCTTCCTTCAATAGCTATTTCTAATTCAAATTGAACAATAAATTTGATAATATTAAGGAAATTTATGTAAGTCAGTCACTAGACCCTTTCCTAAGCTCTTTATTTTGTGTACAAAGTTTCAGATACTTTTGATTTATGAATTACAACAGTCAATGCAGTTTCAGTACCTAATTCTGTCAGTTTTTAAGATAAATGACAAGAAAGACGAGAACTAACTGTTATAACGTACTGTAACACAATACAATGCAGCAGTTGTAGCTTTTAAGGTACAGTGTAAGACTGTAATCTTGAGATTTGTGGGGTGAAGGAGGAAGAAGGAAAGACAGTGTCAGCCTTTAACGCTTCGGACTTCCTGCATTCCTTGCAAGTCTCAAGATTACAGTCACGTACTATATAAATATCTATAAAACAAACTGATCTCCTAGCACTACACTAATGTGGTATAGATAGTATAAGCAAAATTTAAGAAACAGTATTTAAATGTTTACATAGTTCCAATAAATTTTCAAATACAAAATTCTGAGAATGAATATAAATTAATTACAATTCTGCAGGGCAGGATCAATGTTCTGAATTGTCAGCACCCACAACTAGGGTAACTAAGAACCAGGTAACTTAAAAGTAAATTCTTACCAGCTACAAGAAGGATGGCAGGTTTGTCAGGGTGTAGTTCCATCTGTCGGGCTACATACTGTCCATCAAAATGGGCATACCACCAGCCTCGCTTGTTCCCTGCAGTAGAGTCACTTCCTCCCGCTGAGTTATTAGACACTGTTGCCCGGATGAAAGGAATACGAAAATACCGCTGTGAACTTGTGTTTATTGGAGCCTTAACGACTGCACGTGGAACTCTAGCAGCTGAAATTAAAGATCAGAATTTTGAATTTGTTTAAAAAATGGAATGATCAAGTGAAGGCAGATTAATAAATTTTATGAAACATAAATATACCTAATTCAAATAACAAAATTAAACTCTGAAATCTACCAGACTACATAGCATCCATAACATTCCATAAGAATCATTTTCAACAAAATTAAAGAAACGTCGTTTTACGTTTTTTACGTTTTATTACTAGACGATGGATAATATCCAAGTAAATTTTTATTCAAAATTAAAGAAGCCATAAAATTTTTATATGTTTATTAGCAGGCATTTAATCTGAACACGTCTTTAAGTCAAAACGGATAGTTAAAATTTTCTACACTCTTCGTTCCATTCCAGTGGTCCTTGCAAGTTTTGAACCGAATGAAAATTGTGTCACCATTCATGAGATGTCTGATTTGCAAGTCTTTCATCAGAATAAAGGCATCACCATCTGTATTATAACAAACTGGCTCTTGATGGCTAGGGATTAATTACTGGTGCTTGAGTTTTCCAAACATCATTACATCATCCACCGAACCTCTGAAATCCAGGCATGTTCCACCCATTTGATACTGGAAGTGCTATTCCAGGACTAAAGACTAAAGCTAATCAAGATTCTAATTCCAAAGAGAGAACATGTGGAGCGTCAACTCCTTGCCTTAATGGTGAGATGCTAAGCATGAGATTAAAACTGAACTGCTCAACAAATTATGATTACATAAAAGGAAGTAAGCAGTAAGAAAGAAAAATTTAATATTCCATACATACCTGCATCCATAACTGAACGAGGAGCTCGTTCATTTTCATCCATGGTTGTTCTCCTTTTATTCTTAGCCTTCCAAGCATGATACACTTTCAGTCGACGGTGGAATTCAATTCTACATGCCTAAGATTAAATAACAGAAGATCAGATTAAGTCTGATTTCTTGTAATGTTTTCATTTATAATCCTCTCTTTGCATTATATGTGTTTGTATCAGAATAACTCTCTCTGTTCCATTCTGCTTCAACTATTAAAACATGTTTCAAATAATGTTATATCCTAAATTTATTGCATGGAAACAGCGAATTTGGACCCCTAACGCTACACAGTTGTCAGCCAGAATTTACTCTAGGGTTAGTGGTTTAATGATATGCTACTGTAACAGCCTGCTGTAATGCACTTAAGCTATAATGTATGGTTGATAAAAGTAAATAATATCTACATTTTACATTACAAACAAATGTTTTGTATGGGGAGATGTTTTTAAGTATATGGATAAGACTGATATGAGTTTCATGTAAAGTTCGGTTTACTGATATGATCCAAATTTACCTTTTATGCAAACTTTCAGCACAGAACCCAAATAATAAATTTAATCATAATCCAATCAGTATATTTGGTTTTGAAACTTATAGATGGATTGACATACACAAAAACTCACCACCACGTGCCCATTTTTAAAAAAAGACTAAAGCAAGTAAAAAACGTTTCCAACATGAGGAACAGACTGATGCTTCCTGATTATTTTAGGTTCGATATACTTGCCTCCAGCAACTCAATATCACATGATGTGTTAATTGTATCACGTAGTTCTGAATATTTCCATTTCGACAAGTCATATTTTTGTTTTCCCTGTGCTGCCTGCACAGATCTTACCAGCTCTGACCTGAAACACCATATATAAAATCTGTAACTAACTTTATAATACACATAGCTGCTAACAAATTATTACTACAAAAGACAAACAAGCAATACCATGCACCCAAAGATTATGCAACATTTCAATAAGTATTTACACAGAAAACACCTTAACCCATTGAGATACCATCAGTGCTGCCACCCAGTATCTAAACTGAGCAATATTACCTAGCAGTTAGCTCTCTTAATGTGTATTTCAGGGTTCTTGGTTCAAATCTTGGAGGAGAAGGAAACAAACTAAACTGAGAGGTTGTTTTTTGGTTTTTCTCAGTCTTTCCAGACAAAATATTGCAGCAGTACTTTAAATAATCAATAACTGCTTATTCTTACTTTCTTTGTGACTTAAAACCCAGCTATAAATTTAAGAGCCAGTATTAAAAGTGGGAGAAGGGTATTTCAAGAACAATCTTGTTAATTAGGACATAAATCATACAATTTAAGTGATTATTTAATTTTACATCTACGAGTCCAATTAATAACTATGACAGAATGACCGAGTATAACTGCTTTATTAATTTGTTTTGCATTATAGTCATGTTCAGAAACAGTAGAATAATTAACTGTCATAGTTCTATCATTCACATTGGATTTAAGTATTGTGTTTGTCCAAGTACATGACATTTTCATATAAATGTTAAAGCTGCTACTAAATTTATCTTCATCTCAACTCCAAGGATTGCAATTTTTTACTCTAAGGATTACAATTTTTCAACTTATGATGTGATATCTAAAAAATAACAAAATATAAAACAGGGCATTGTTTAATGCATAACTTCAACTACTGTTATCAGGAATAAGCCACACAGAATAATATTTACAGTTACTTTATTGTCATTAGTATAAAGGCATGCTGAGAATTAATGCCTCCAATCCCCCAAATATCAGGAATGTGTATTGCACTGAAACAAAAATGGCAACTCTTCTTGAACTTCATTCTGTAATTTTATACAATGACCTCTCAACATAATTACCTCTACAGTTGACACACTTCCCCCATTTTAGAAGTCTCCTCTGACATCCTAATTATTAACTGTTTCAGTATTATGAATCAAAACATTTAGGACAGTCTAATCAATAATAGATAAAGTAAATGAGTATAAATTACGAGGATACTTATTATGTAGAATTATTCATTTTCCTGTTTTTTCTGTCTCTTATGAGAACATTCCCCCACCACCTTTATGGAACATCACATACTTCTGCAAATGGAATACTGTCTTCAAATTTTGCTACCAACTGCCCAACTTCACTGCTGCTACAATTAAGCTTCGTATAATCATTATTACTTTTACAATTTATTTAAACATTCTCATATCTACACACAAAAATTCACAATAAATTTAAAAAATGGAACATGCACAATAAGCAGGTGTGTTTTACTGATGATTCCTTATTTAGCAGACAGGATAGAAAACTAATTTACAAACATGCAGCATGTAGTATGGATTTTATGGAATATATTTTACACCTATCTAAATAAGCCACATTATCACTACCAAAGAAAAATGAAAATTAAAACAACTAAAGATATTAATGTCCAAAGGTGCACACAATATAAGTAAAACCTTCACTTGGCAATATGGACATCTTAAATTGAAAGTAAATGCATGCATAATGAATGGAAGAGAAAGTGTAATCACTCTTCAGCCTACGCAAATCATTGCCATCATAAGCCACAGTGACAAACAACAACTAAGAACCACGTACTGCTCATTTACTTCGTAATGTTATACACTCCAGCCTCCGCATCCTATTCTCATTATTATTATTATTATTATTATTATTACCATTTCAATGTGTTCATAACCAAAAGTTCCAAAAATGTGCCCATTAGCTTTTCCATGTCTTAAAACTTTAAATACCCATGGAAGATATCATGGATGTATTAAGAATAGCCTCAAAAGGTAAAATGCTTGATATTTTAGAAAAGTTAAATATATATAAAACTAGTCAAAATCAAACCATCATTAACGAACAGAACACCCATGATTCAAATGTATTATTTGACCTGGCATTAAAAAGGAAAAAGTAAATTTTATATACAATAGTTGTCCACCATGAATTTGAGCTTATATATACCCCGCACATTCAAAAACTGGCAGTAACACCCATGCTTCATTGGAGTTCACAAGCACAGACGACGCAACCACGGCTCACCGCAGACCAGCAATGGCCACCAGACCAGTGGACTAATAGCTAAGTGCAAAGTACAATTCCTGTGAAACCATCATCTAGTGTAGTGTTGCTTATTATGGTTTTGTAGAGAACTCAACTTCATGATTTGTTTTTAAAACCATTTTTGATTATATGAATAAATTCCCCGTTTTGCCACTGATGATGACCTCTTGAGGTTGAAACGCGTTTGGCACTAGTGTCATTTATAGTGTTAATAGTTTGTTTGTTTGCTTATTTTATTTTCCATGTCTGTCTGACTCCGAGTGATTTTACACTAGAAATAAAGAGGTGCCAAATGAGTGATTACATCCTCCCCTGTTTCATATATTATGATATTTAATAATACAAAACATGTCCATAACCACATTAGTCACGCAATTATGCAATCCCAAGGTGCTAGCATATTTCAAATAGTGCTTGCTGTGCAGAAATACCTGTTCAGCTTATTGGGCGGCTGGCTCCTTATCTCTGTGCAGCTTGACCTACTGACGGGAAACAAGCAGAGAAGACAATGACCCATGTAACAGTGGGGAAAATGTACACTACAAATAACCTCTCTCCACACTCAATCAATTTAGTGTTTACAGATATCCTCAAGTCATTTATACAAAAATTGTAATATTCAGAAGTGTATGTACCGACTGTAGCAATTGTAATCTTGCTAGTGAAAATAGTGCATAATATTTTTACCCAATAAAAATATACAAAATATTACTGTCAGGAATGCATGCAAAGACATTTATACAACAAACCACATATTTTAGACATCCTTCCTAAAACAGGTCACATTAGCAGCAAACAGGCAGACATACCAGAGTTGCGTAAGAGCTGGGGATACAATTTCACATCACTTTCACAGCACTTAACTCCAAATGTAACACTGTGCACAAAGTACAGTCCAGAACATGGGGGACACAGATTACCATTTCCAAATCACATTCTATACCATTACACAAGCAAACATTTTATACATGATGCAGATCACTTGGCCCTAATCTGATCAAATTACGAAGCCCTGTATCCACAGAATTCACCCTTTCATGCCATCTGTTGTTTCACATAATTCAGGAAATGTATCCTTTCTAAATGTTATTACATGAACCAGAAAAAAGACTGTAAGAGAAGATTTAGTAATATTTCTGCAAAATAGCTCTAATAAGCTGGAAATATCAAACAATATTAATAGCACATAAAATAAAGTAACTTCTTTTGACTACATGAACCAAATCTCCAAAGACAACACCGATGTAGCCTGCAAGGACCACTGTTTCATTCAATTAAAGCAATTATTTTGATCCTTTACCATGGTCTGTCTTCAGATAAGTTTCCTTATCAATGACAAGTCAGTAGTGACATACTGTTCAGAAGACTTTCTGAATATTTTTGCTACATTATTGAACTGTCAGAATGCTATTTCAAAACAACTTGAATATTTTTGCTACGTTATTTAACTGTCAGAATGCTATTTCAAAACAACAAAAATAACATCAAAATCCTTTTGATATGTCAAAGTGGCCGCACGGTCTGAAGCATGGACCTTGTGCCACTTGGACACTGTGACTGTGAGTTCAAATCCCACCCAAGGCATGGATGTTTTTCCGCGTCTTTATGTGGTATGCTGTCCTGTGTACAGGTAGAGGCCTTGTGATGGGCCAATCACTCGTCCAAGGAGTCCTACGAACTGTCTAACAGATCAAAGTCAGCGAAAAGTTGGGACCCACAGTGCTCAAGCACTGAAGAACGGGTCATCTAAGTATCTAAGTACGTACGTACGTATTAATTTTGGTTAATTTCCCTTAAACAACATTTTGCAATTCATCTCTTATAGAGATGGCAGAGACAATATATCTTTCTTAATTTATTTCATTGCCATTATGTTAAGAAGTGTGCACATACCTCCTATTTTCTTGTGGAGACATCTCTTCTAGTTGGTCATTGGTTTCCTGTGCAAGCCTCAAAGCCAGCTCGTGATCTCTCTTCTCTTGTTCCAACTGCTCTCGGTAACGAGCATCTTCCAAGGCTTCCTTTTCTAGTTGGGCCTGCCAAAAAGAAATTTCCATTTATTAAGCATATAGTGATAACTATTTTCATATAAAACTGCATTAAGTGATACAGAATGGTTATTTCTAGTGGAGAAGGAAACATCCCACTTGTTTCATAACTATAATATTTATTTTAAGACAACAGGTGTTGACATGCTTTTAAGTACAACACACACTATCCAGTTTCAAACCTGTAAACCAGCCAAACATTCTGCCAAAACCAGAGTGTCGATTCTAAAGTTTCATTCTCTGTGCTGCATTTGTTTCTGTGCCACTGCTATTCCATAACAAAGAACAGCTGATTGAATTGTCTTTGTTATTCAAAATGGCGAACAATGTCAAAGAAATCAATTCACACTGTTCTCATATTTGAACCTTTGACAAATTCCTGAGTATAGACACATAATTTAAAGTTTTGTATTCAAGTTTAATGAAATTTCATTTTGTTCCCATTAATTAAGGGTAAATGTTTTAAATAAAATAACACAAACCAGAATTGTGGAAAATTTGCAACTCCCTTTCACTGGACAAGCAACAGAATCACAATAAAGCAAATTACTGGACTGAAGAGGACGTTCAGAATGTCACATGATGGTTAGCTAAAATTTTGAAGTGTAAATTATTCACTGGAATACTGGCCTTCTTCTGCTATGCAGTTGACAGACAAAGAGTATGGGAGTCATTTAACTTTATGGACTTCCAGCTATGCACAGCCTTGGAAGCAAAACTGCAAGTACAGTCAGTGCAAAAAGATAATGAAAACAGTGGTGACTGATTAAGAATGACTTATTATGGAGAAGATACCTGAAAGAAAAGCCCTCATTTTATATTTTTCCATCTACGAGCTGTTACACTGTAATAACTGTATAGTCACCAGTCTCAAAGCTTTATTTAAACACTGTATAATACTTAACCATGACATGGTTCTGGAATTTTCAAGTACTCAAGTAATTGTTACTTCATAGGTCCACATGGCGCAACAAAATAATTACAGTGTGTTCCTGCTTGTGCTTGTGGATTGAACGGAGTCATATGTGGAGTATGAATTTCACATTTGTGCTGGTCTTCAAATCATTCAACAGTGCTAAGAAAAATAATGTTTCAAGGTCTGGAAGATACAGTATGCTGCTAATGTACTATGCATGTGGCAACTATGGTTCAATCATGCATTTTTCTAAATCATTTCAAATATGATAAGAATGTAGTGACAGTTTTGAGTAACTAACCTGAAGAGCTGCAGCTGCTTTCTTGTCTTCTTCCTCTTGCTTCTTCCTCTGTTCCTCTTCTGCCTTACGACGAGCTTCCATTTCAATTTTTCTAAAAAAAAATAATATATATATAATTATATCATTAATTCATGACAATTTATTTTGATGACAAAATGCACATTATGTAATCTTTGTATTTATATCTGGGCTTGTTGGGGCAGGAAGCTTGCAAGTAAATTATTCTTTAGGTTTCTTTCATTCTTCACCATTTCAGACAGAGACTAAATTTATGAAACCCTGACTGCTGTGTTCTAACGTCTCCCTTAAATCACCTGGAATAACACTGCAGCTTTGTAACATTTCAGTTTTTCAACAATTATTTCAACTCCCTTCAAGTTTGGTTATGGGATTTACTAACAGTTGGCAATACTATTTCAGGATCTTTACACTTATTACTTGTTAATTAAATTATTAAAGAAATTTTCTAAATTACATGATTCGAGGTTTTGATGACCATAATATACTGTCTCCACCTTCAGTCCTCAAGATCGACCTAAGATGGAGACTGTACGTTGGTATCTACCTATGAGTACACATGGTGTCAGAACCTAAAACAACATAAAAATTGTCCTGATTGCTCCAGGAAACCAACCATTTTTGTCCTCTGTCAAATATATAATATGCTTGTATCATTTCTTATATTAATTTATAGCTGTATACTAACTTGGAAAATTTTGTTTTAATATTTGGTTTAATCTCACTGAATTTATCTTCTAGACACTCCCTCTTTTATTCCTCATAGTTAGATATCTTTGTATTTGAGACCAATACATCAGTCTCTATTTATCAGTCCCCAATCTGCAATAACTGTATGACAGCCTGTTTTCTTTAACTTATACAAAAGTAAATAAATGTATTCATGTTGAATAAATACACTGTCACTTAAATAACCTGTGGAAACAAATTATATAACTAAATTTTTGGTGTGTAAAGCAATTAGTTTTGTGAATTGTAGTAGTAAAGAGTACAATAAAGTATTTGCCAAAACTGAAAGCACTTCTCTTTTGTTTTCATCACATGCTTTATCTAAAATCTGAGGCATTTTAGTAGCTACACTTACTTTCTCCTGTTTTCTTCTTCCTCTCTTTTCTTTCTCTCTTCTTCTTCTTTCCGTTTCTTCTCCTTTTCCATCTCCTCCTGCATCTTCCTTAATCGTTCCTGCTCTTCAGCATTCTTTTGTTCCTGCACCTTCTTCTGAAGCTGATTCATCTGGCTGTTTGTGGTGTTCAGGAGGCGTGTGTACAGTTTATCCACCTCTGTAGGTTTGATCTTCTCATCTCTCTGCCAATTAAAATACATAATAAAAACAAATCAAGAACTCAAAACAACACAGCAGAACATACAAGTGATTCTACATTCTAATAATCTTCAATCTGTGCTCTGCATAAACGCCCCAACACACACCAGTACACATTTGAAACAATAACATATTAAAAATGGTAACTGTAAAAACCATGTTCTTCAAATACCCCACTCAAAAATCCTATTCCCAGTTCTCTGCTATCAATCAAAACGATGATGATGAAACCCCAACTTGGGGGGCCACAGATATAGCTGATAATCCATCAATATGAGCAATCACAAGCAATACTTCAATCCACTGTCACTCATAAATAACATTTATTGGAACTACAGAAATACAAAAATCAGTAGGCAATTCATCTATTGTATGACAGGAACACTCAACAATTAATGATCAAAACTTCCAAGTAAAACTAAAAACCAACCAACCAAGAAGCTAAGTAAAAAATCTTGTGCAAGTGCAAGACATCATCTCTTGCTAGGTTAAACCTTTCCTGCATGTCATGTAAAACTTACTTCTTGTCAGAAGAACATGTTTCTGAATGTTGAAAGTGTTTGAAAGATCTCCGGAATCTAAGCAATATCCTACATGACTGATAATGATGTACTATAATCATATATATCAAAATATAGTTTTTTTACAACAAATAACGTGATATCTGTCAATCTTGTATAAAAGTGACAAAGTGTTAATGATAATATTCTGATAGGCCAATAATTAAATTTGGTGGAATGTCTGCAGCTGCTTCTAGAGATGAGTACAATACTGATAACTGTATGTAAAAAATTATCACCACCAGTCACTCAATATCTGATACAGCAGTGATTTAAATGAGAGATTACTTTCACTACCTAGATATTGACTACACGTATTCTATGGCAAAGAAACCATTGACTGAAGTAGTTGTTTACATTTCACTGCCTAGTTGCAACAGATAGCTAAGACAATGACAGGTAGTCAAGCACTCGACTGATCTGAATCGCCACCTGGTGAGGGAACTGGTGACTGCTGTAATCGGCAGACTGACAAACAATGAAACAGAAGTCATTCTCATCTCCCATCAGTTTTATTTTCTTGTACTCTGATTAAATAGCAAATGAATTCCCACCTTACTTTCATGTATTTGAATTTCTGGAATTTAAAGAATTTCAAAGAATTATAAACAAACTATTATCAATTCTGAAGGGATCTGACAATGGAGTGACACAATTTGGATTGTTGGATTTTTGCACAAAACACACAATTTAAGGACTGGATCTGTCCTTGTCTTCAGGTGTAATGAAAAGGGCACATACCCATTGTGTGTTTTATACCATCAGATGATGAACAAGGTCCAAAAACCCCAAAAATCCAGATTGAAACTATTATGGCTTTTATTTTTATTACTTTTTAAAATGAAAAGTCATGTCATATATATACTACATCGAACACCATTCTTTCTCAGTGGCAACAATATTATAACACATTCATAAACATATAATTAACAAAATAACAAGCAAAACATTTGTGTAATGAATAATAAGTAAAGAACCCTCAATTTTCCACGGCTTCCACTCGAGGACCATCTCTTACCTATTCCTCCTTTCCTCTGCTTCTAGGGCTAGGTGGTCGCTACTTAAAATCACCATCACCCATAAATAATGTTAATTTGAACTACAGTGTTTAAAAATTCACTGGATCACTCACCTTTAATATTGATACTCTATGGATACATAAATCTCAAGGTATGTAACAGGTGCCAATGTCACTTAGTATGTGGATGCATAGTTATCATTTTTCATGACAGATAAGAATTTGTTTAAGATCTGGTACATGATAATAATGTTAAAATTAAAAATTTATATGCAATATTATTCATTTTAAAAAGTTTTTATTTTTAAATTGTTTGATCATGTGGCATGTAAAAGCACACATTCTTGACACATATCTTTCTTTCTTTCTTTCTTTTTTTTAACTGTATATGTTGTAGACCTAAAATTTGCCAATATGAAGAGACTGGAAATAGATAAGTTTTCTTTGTGTTTGAGAGCTGAACTCAGAATCTTATGTAGACAACTGACAAGATTATTTGTTACTAGATTATATGTAGTGAAAACCTTCCACTGTGAAACGGAGTAGCCTTATCTTCAAGATCACCTTACACACAGATAAATACAATATCATTTTTTTCATAACAGCAATGGATAATCATAGAAGCACAATAATTTTTGCATATGTGGATATACCACTGAATAATGAAGTCACTTATGTCACAGATTCCGTAAGCATTGCAGAATTAATAAATTAACGGATATTTAAAACAGCCGCGTTCTCTTATATTTAGATCTATGTTCACTGACACTGGGTTCTTGTAACAAACGTCTCCTTTACATATATATCAATGAACACTGCTAATACTAGCCTATGCAATAAATCTCGGTATGTTTGTATGGGGGTCCGCAGTGGCCGCGCGGTCTGAGGTGTGGGCCTTCTGCCGCTTGGTCGCTGGGACCGTGGGTTCGAATCCCACTCAAGCCATGGATGTTTGTCCGCGTTTCTCATATGTATAGCATCTTCAAGAATCCCATTCCTAGTTCTCTGTTATCAGTCAAATAGATGGAGATCTTTGGAGGGACCCTACAAATGCCGGCATCAAGCCATAAGCCAGTGGACCCAAGACCCGATGATGATGATGATGATGATGATGATGATGATGATGATTATGATGCCACTTCAGATAGTATCAAATACAAAATGCATAAATTAATTGTCCCTTTCTTTAACTTTAGTACCTATCTCTGACACCAGAACATTTTCCGTGTGCTTAACTTGAGCAAAAGTAGTTAAAATAAATGATGCAAAATACTTTGAGGGCGCTGTACACTAACCCGCACAATTGATGTGCTGACAGTCACAATAAAGCAACAACATCCGCAATGCCATAAGGCCTCTGGTTAGCAAGCAACAGGATCAGAGCCGTGCTATGCTTATATGTCAAGCAACCAGCAAACCGACCGCATGTTACTTCTTTCAATGAGCATCAGACTAGTACGGAAATAACTATATTATATTACCTTAATTTTCTGTACAGCAGAGGTCATATCTGCCTGTAAATTTTTCAGCTCTGACAAACTAGACTGTTTGTCCTTCTTCAGCTGGCCAATCGATGTCTCCATCTGAGCTAGTTTTGCCTGTAAATTTTAAATAAATTAAAATGAAGATAACTTTCAACCAAATACTTAAATAAATTTGAACTAAAAACATCAAGGAATTTGCTACATAGTATCATTAACTTTAATTTTTAATTGTATCTCCCCACCTAAGTAATAAGCTACAATTCATTTAGCATTGCTATATTAATTATAGCCGTTTCAGTGGCAGCACAGTCTGAGGCTTGGGCCCTGTGCCGCTTGGTCACTGGGACCGTGGGTTCGAATCCCACTCAAGGCATGATTGTTTGTCTGCATTTTTCTGTGTTGTGCTGTGCTGTGCTGTGTACAGGTAGAGGCCTTGTGACAGGCCGATCACTCGTCCAAGGAGTCCTACCGAATGTCCATAGATCAAGCCAACTAAAAGTTGGGACCCGCAGTGCTCAGGCACTGAAGAATGGGTCATCAAAGTATCAAAGTAAAGTAAGTATATTAATTACATAAGTTATGTACAGTAATGAATGAGACCTAAGGATGACTGGAGGAAGAGGTTCTTATTCCTAAGAATAAACAATACTGATAAATTTTGTACCCCACAAGATGGGCCTTCCAATGTCTGATTCTTTTCTATTCTACTGTCTTTCAGAATTAAATGAAGACTAACATTCTCTTTCTCTTACATTATGCAATACTGCACCACCTACCGAAGTCTTTTTTCAAGTATGATGTGTGTTAAACAGCAAAGAGCCAGTTGTTAGTTTGATTGTATATGCCTTTGTAAAAACATTGCCATGGTCAACAGTTACATTCAGAAATGAATATACGCATTAAGGTATAAAATAAACACAAAGAAAAAACAAAGAGGAAACACCTGCTGAATTATGAAATAAATACATGTTTTCAAGTAAGAGTGTATAATTGTTGCAGTGTGAGCAGAGTAATGAACCTTTGGGTTCTATGAAAACAAGAAATTTCTTGGCAAACTGTTTAAATATTCACTTTTCAAGGAAGATTCTTGCATGGAGTTAGTTAATAACATGTCTACTGGCAAAAAATTCGAATTATACCTGCAAACTGTTTATTTTTGTAATGCCTCTGTATCTTGGCTGATGAATTCTCTTGGCAAGAAACATGCGAACATTCTTCTGAATTGTTATCAGGCATGTCCTTCGGTATAGTATCCTGTATTTCACTGAAAAGTAAAGTACCCCTCTTATTAAATACCCACAATTTGCTCATGAACGAGCAAAACAGCAACAATACAGTTATTTGGTAATATTCAGAATCTTACTAACACTATCTGCTAATAAAATGCTTTGCTGCAATATTCTTTTAATGCTATACATATATGTTTTAGCTTCTTAGCAAGTAATCTGTCACATTTATTCTAAATCATGTTTTATTTTACTGCATAGTATGTACATCCAACAGTCACGCTCTACTTATAGCAAAAGCAGAAAAGACCACAACTCACCTGTGAAAACCTCATATTTCATATGTATAAATACTTTCTATGCCTTTACTAACCGATGATCTAGTAGGATAACCATTCCAATTTCTCACTTGCACTTATGTGACACATATAAGTAGTATTATAGTCAATTAAGTATGTTAAATCTGTCAGTCTTATAATAAATGTATAATTATATTATGTTTAGATCAATATAAAATTTTATGAGAAGAAGCTGGCACAAAAACATAATAAATGTTTTGTCAACAAATAAAATAAATGGCTTAGTTCTGATGATGGTGTATTACTCACAATAAATTAGTTGGGTGTGTTGGAAAAAAATTATCTGAATCAGTCCAGTGACAGATGCTCATACTATTTAGAAACAAAATATTATAGATTACCAAAAATGTTATTTGATGTTTTCAAGACTAAACCAGAATCTACAGTAGAGTATTTCACTACACAAGTTAATCTCAGTTTCTTTGTAATGCTATGTGGAAAAGGTTTCCATTGCATACGTGCTCAAATATCAGTCTTTAAGATAAAATTGTATTATCATAGCACTGAAGATGTCGACACTGGTCTTCTGGATAGTAACATCATGTTGATTTGTATTTAGATATCAAAGTTTTGTAGAAACATACTGCCTGCATCTTCAGGCCTAAAATTTTGCTATCTACCTATAAGCCCACATTGTATTACTACATAGAAGACCAACACCTGTTTTCATGTTATTAAGAATTAATGAAAGTAGCTTTTATTCAATAATATTGACAGTGTGTTTATAATGTAAGAAATATTATAAATTAAGAAAGACAGAAACCATTACCCACATGCAGTTTTCTAGCAAATTACTCAGGCCAATTTTATAAATAATCTTCCAAATTTTACCTACATCTAATGACAGCTAGGGCACACCATTGTGTTTTCTTCCACCATGATATGAGAAGCCATTTCTGGACCTTAGTAACCATACTAGCCAAGTTCTCTGGATCAGATTTCATGATGGAATCAAACTCTGCAAACTTGCCTGGTCGGAAAAACACTCTGGTCACACCAAAACGGTAATCATTCTCTGTCATCCCCAATGCTTGCAGTAATACCTGGCAGACACAAGAAACATTACAACAAAGAATAATTTAGTACACATAAAAAATGTCAGTTTTGAAGCAGATGTCAAAAGATCAGTGTTTCCCAAACCTGGGTAAATTACCCAAAAAGGGGTAAAAGTGGTTTTTCTTTGGGTAACGACACACCTCAGAATACACATTAAAATTTACCGTAAAAGTGTAAAAGAAGTACTCTGAAGGAAGTGATCAGTCATTGTGCACCAATACTCTAAAATAGTCTAACAAGTATTTATTTGCTATTTAATAAATATGCCATATGCTTGTTATTAGATTTAATAATTTTTGCCACGCTCACATCCACATGGAGAATTGAAAAAACACGTCTACACGTACCGCCCCGCCCCTAAACTAAAGTTAGTGAGTCTAGTTGTCTAGACTAAACTTTAGGTGCAGTGTTTTGCTAGCTATGGCGGTGTGAGGTATGTATCGTGCTGGCTGTGTTTATAAATCATACCGTACACAATTGGAAAAGGTAATCTTCATTATATTATTTTTAGTTTATTTAAAATAATATAATGAATATTCAAATACTAACTTTTATCTTTTTTCTTACCTACATTGGGTAAAAAGGACTTTCTGATAAGCAGTTTTGGGTAATGAAGGAAAAAGTTTGGGAAGCAGTGTCCTAGATGAATAAAAATATATGTTCCAATGTTTCAGAGGTAGATGTACATACACACAGTACTCCAATTGTCATCATAACCATAACCACTGGATAAAATAAATTTTGTAACTGCCAAACAGCATAACATTTTCCCACGAATGAGATGTACAGCCATACATTACAGATTAAGTAACACAAAACAGGATTCTGAAACATAGGAACACAATTTTATTTTAACTGGTCACACGTAATGACAAAATTGGTTTAGCACTATTTTCCTGCCAGTTCCTTGACACATTATTTGTACTCTTGTTCTCTCGTTAATTTCATGTTTTGACGATCTCGGCGCTTCTATGAGTGGTTCAAAATTTACCCAAAATCTACATTGTTTCTCACAAACAATGAAGTGCACTGGTGTAATTTCTGTGCAGTCATTTCACAGGATGGGGCAGTGTGTACATGGGGAAGAAGAGTACCTTCAGGAGATTGCCCACTATCAAAGAGATAGGATGAATGACATGCTCTGATCAAAAATCACATGTCAAGTTTGAACAACCTATGTAAGTATACACCTGATGTACCTTGCAGAAGACCCTAGGTTCCAGTTTTGCCAGTTTTGGTGGCAAGTATTTGTGATACATGCTGTACAAATCTGTGAAATGAACTCTGGAAGGGAAACCATTCTGCATCAGCTCCATAACACTTGTCATGCCTGAACATTCCAGCTGTGACAGGATTGAACCTCCATCAAACTGGTGATCCACCATTTTCTGATTTGGTTTAATACAACGTATAAAATTTGTGCTCTGCAAAAAGAAAAATTGCATTTATCCACAATTTATTTTGTGTATGATAATTAAAATCATCATTCTTCTCATTATTAGATGTAGTTGGCCTCATTCAGGCATTGCAGAAGACCACATAATTTATTGTCCTGAGAAATATGATGTTTTTTCTCTCTGAAAGTAATAACATCACATCCTACCCTTCCTAATACTTCAGCTATTACATAATTTTTTTATCTTTTAACCTTTCAATAAATTAAAACATTATAATAAGTATTTCATGAATTACTCCTCATAAAACCACTCCTCACATACTTGAAACCTTATAATATTTTATCATAATTTCCATGATAAATCTGGTGATTTATTAAGTATTAAATCCTTTAGCAACTGACATTATATGCCACGGTCTCAACTTGGAACATTAAATTGAATAAAAATTTCCTTGGATATTATCCATCATCTAGTAAATATAAAATGTAAAACGACGTTTCGGAGATGGGGCTCTATCTCCATCTTCAGGTTTCTACTCAGTTGGGCCCACTAGATAGAGTTAATCCCTATCTCCGGACAAAGTAAAAAAGTGAAAGTCCCGGAATAAAAAGACATCACCACACCATCCATCCGTGGGACGTAAAAGAATAGACAGTAGAAATCAAAATTCATTAAACACGATAAAGCCAAAAAAAAACTCACAAAAAGTGGGAATAAATACACATGAACATTAATTTGAAACTCGATGCAAGACTTGGATTTCTTCAGAGATTACAGGTATCCAAATAGGAGATAAATCCAAACTAGGCTGGCTGATAGGGTTGGCGAGTAGTGCCATGTGTGCCGCCTCCTTGTATTTTCTTATACCATCTACCGCAATCACATGGTATTCCATACACACACTGCCTAGTCTGTCTCTCGACTGTTCTGGGTCTCATGGACATCAATAAACCACGGAGAGTGTGACCGGTTTTAAAGATTGTCCTGATATTATAACGGTTCCCAATTCTTCTAAATTTTTCTGAGACACCTCTGACATATGGGATAACCGCCGTACCCAGAGGCGTTCTGTCAGAAGAAGGCCGGATGTTTTTTTCGGACTTATATTTACTAGACGATGGATAATATCCAAGGAAATTCTTATTCAATTGACTCTTCACCATCGTCAAGAAGTTTTAGATTTGGAACATTAAAGTTGAAATCGTGACTGTTCTTACTAAGCTTAAACACAACAGATTGGATTTGCTGAAATTTTATGTTAAAAGGTATGTACTGCCAAACAACAAGAATATTTTCAGTATCATTCAGAACTTACGGTACTCTTAACCTTATCCATCAGCTCTCCTAGTTGTGTTTTGAACTTTGATCCAACGCTGCTGAAAGTTAGTTTGCCCTTCTGCTGGCTCATGTTGGATGATGATGCAAACAAACTTTGAAGGAATGAGTTCCTGCTCTCTTGAATCAAACCTTCTAATGAAGCATGGAGAGCGTCATTGTTCTTTTCAATAAACTGACCCTAGATTAACAACAGAAGTTACAAATATTGCTGAATGCCATATTTGACATTATAACTCTGTAGGCCTACCAACATTCCATGGGTCCATTACTGGTATTACAGAATTTTGTTTTCTGTTTCCAAATTGGTGTTATTTACTGCATCATTTTCTACTTATAATTTTTAGCACAAAAATATAAAAGTGTTAGAATCATATAAACATAAAAGAAACAAGAAAAGAATTTGTGCATATTAGCTAAATTATATGATACCAAACATCCAAAAATATTCACACAAATGTGTATATCACCTCATTTGAAATCACACACACAAAAATTCAGAAGGAATGTTTATAAGAAATCAAAAGTGTTTTCTGATGTTACAATGTTCAGTCTGATTTAAATGATGCTGGTATTCACAATAACTTACAGTTCTGTAACAGACTGCTCCAGCAAAATGTCTGATCATGAATCCTTCATTATCCCGAGTGCCACGATGTGCTTTGAGCCGTGATGTTCTTGGAAGAGCTAATCGGAAGTGTCCTTTCCATTTCTGGTGAATTTCCATCGTGAAATGTTCAGCACTGGGTTTTGGGAGCTTTGATTCCTCATCCAGGATGCTAAAAATTCCAGTGCCCTTTGACTCTATCAAGTCTATAAAATAAATTGCAACAGAAAAGTTATGGTTAATGTAAGCAAAAATAAGCTGAATGACAAAGTCAAATTAAAAAACTGACTCAAGAACACATACAACGGAAATGCAGTAATTTTGTTGTTAATGACATGTAAAAGAAGTTGACAAATAAATGTTATGCATAACATATGGAATGTATGCAAACTGGAATAAATCTTTTTTTCTTTATACATACAAATTCTCATTCTGTAACTTGAGCAATCATTACATACAATGCTATGAGCTTTAGTCTTAGCTTTTATCTCCTTGCAGAGGTTATAATTTCCTTAATTTAGAAATTAATATATGATAGCTAAGCAAACCAGAAACCTTCTTTTAATTTTCATGATAAAAAAAATACAAATGCACAAGTCTTGTAAATAAGAAGGAGCAATTTAAGGTAGCATTAAAAAGATACTTAATTACACACTCCTTTTACTCTGTTAATGAATTTATGTTGTTTACAAATAAGTGATACATTTTCTTCTGTGTGTAATTGGTAGATTTATTTGTAACTTATCATTTCTTTAGGTGAACCCTTTGATTGTATTATGTGAAATTTATATAATAGTATGAATTGTATTTGTATAACATGTATTGTATTATTATTATTATTATTATTATGACTTTTCCCACATCCTATTGTCATCTGACTGTCTTATGGATCCAAGGAATATAATAAAATACGCATGTATTTATGTATGTATGTATGTATAAAATAATTACAAATGAAAACATTTGAATTGTTTCTTATTTGTTCTGTGCTGATTCTATGGAGTACAATAACTGTTGCTTCACTTACACACACAGTGCAGAAACCACTGCTATGTAAAATGCCAGAACTGTCTAATAATGTCACAACTAATGTTCCACTAACCAGCAGAAAGTACATTATACTGTTTTTTGTTTGTTTGTCATCAGTCTTTTGACTGGTTTGATGTAGTCCTCCATTTTCGCCTATCTTGCGCCAATCTCTTCATTTCGACATATTTTTTGCAGCCCACATCCTCAAAAATCCGCGTCACATATTCCAATCTTTGCCTTCCTTCCATTACCAAATTAACCAATCCTGGGTGCCTCAGAATGTGTCCCACCATCCTATCTCTTCTTCTCGTAAGATTTTTCCTTCGCCTATCCTGTCTAAGACCAGATCATTTCGCACTTTGCCAGTCCACTTAATTGTCAACATTTCAAATGCTTCTATCCTTCTTCTTTCTGGCTTTCCCACTGACCATATTTCGCTTCCGTATAGCGCTGTGCTCCAAACATATAACTTCAGAAAAATCTTTCTTAATTCCGGGTCAATGTTTGACACTAGTAGACTTCTCTTTTTGAAGAAGGCTCTTTTCGCTTGTGCTAATCTGCTTTTAATGTCTTCCTTGCTTCGTCCATCTTTTGTGATTTTGCTTCCTAAATAACAGAATTCCTTCAATTTTTCTACTGTGTCTTTCCCAATTTTGATATTTAACGGATCATTATTCTCATTTCTGCTGCTTCTCATAACTTTTGTTTATCCTTAAGCCGAATTGCCCACTGAGTAATCTATTCATACCATTCAATAATTTTTCTACATCTTCCTTCCTTTCAGCCAAAAGGGCAATATTATCAGCAAACCTTAACATTGCTATCCTGAACTTTTCTTTCACTTCCTTCGTTGCATCTTCAACACACAAGTTAAACAGCAGGGGCGATAGGCTGCATCCTTGTCATATTCCCTTTTTAATAAATGCATCTTTCTTGATTCTCCACTTTTATTATGGCCACCTGATGCTTATAAATACTGTAAATAACTCGTCTATCTTTATACTTCAGCTCTATCTTCCTCGAGATTTCAAACATCTTATTCCACTTTACGTTGTCAAAAGCCTTCTCCAAGTCTACAAATGCCATCTTTATTTTTTTTAATCCGTCCTTCTATTATTAAACGTAAGGTCAGAATTGCCTCTCGAGTACCCAAACTTTTTCTAAAACCAAACTGATCCTCATCTGGCGCCTCTACAACTTTCCTTTCTATTCTTCTGTATATTATTCTAGTTAATAATTTTGATGTATGAGATATCAAGCTAACTGTGCGGTAGTTCTCACATTTGTCTGCTCTCACTTTCTATATTAACTAAAATACATTGTTAAGCTATATGTAAGGATATATAAGTAATTTACATTTATCAGTTAATTTATATTTACCAATACAGTCCTGATTGTCTCTGAAGTCTATCTTTGGGACTTGCAAGGCTTCTTTCTGATAAAGATTCTGTTCATCCTTCAGGATCCTCTCATTGAAAAACTGCTGCAATTTTTCATTGCAGTAGTTGATACAGAACTGCTCAAAACTGTTAAGTGTAAAATACTCTGAAAAATAAATAAGATATTTTGTGTTGCTCCAGTTTTGAATCAAACAACGCATACGAAAAGCAAAGCTGTAAACAACAAATTGTGCATCTCAACTGAACATACTGACATAATAATGAAACTTGCAACATGAACTGATATAACGAAATAATTCTAAAAATAAAATTATCTGATTACTTGCTGGAACTGAGGAAATGAATGGAAATTATAACAAAACGTTCCAGAGTAAAAGCATAAATGTGTCCCTTATTTTGATCAGACATTTAATATGATTAAACAAGTTTCATAAAGCATAAATGTATCCCTTATTTTGATCAGACATTTAATATAGAAGGAAAGTAACTGTCTAGGTTACAGGTGACACCTAAAGATCAGTAAAAGTATTTTCAGCAGTTCAGAAATGAGAAATATCAATAACAATTCTGACAGCTTTTATGCATGCGCAGTTATTTTATGAAGTAAAAAACATCAACTCGATAGACAGTTTTCATACCAAATCCAGCAATATCAAGCACTCCAATGTAGTAACTCGATGCTTTGAAAGGTATTGATTTGTTGATGCGCTGAACAATGTAATCAAATAGATTACTGTAAACAGCTTTGGCAAGAGCATCTCTGGCATTGTTGGCTTCATATACCTTCAGCGGAACCCTATCAATAAGTAAGAAATGATTCATCACAATCTTAAAATAAGTAACAAGAAACAAATTTAAAGTTTATGTTAACTCCTCAAATGCTCGCAAACATACACATCTGGAGTCTAAAAAAATGTTCTAAAACTTCACTACAAGTTTACCGCCATTTTTACCAAGTGACTGGTAGTAATCAGTCCGAAAGACAATTACCTTTATTAATTATGTCAGTACATTGTGAATTTCTTACTTCTGGTAATAAATTGCTATATTTATCCAAATATCACATCTGAATAAGATGTACATACAAAGTTTATAGCTATTTAAAAAAACTTTATTATTTAAATGTCACTAATATTAAAGATCAAACAGTGACAAATTATGTTCATGCCCCACTACATAAATCTGAACAAGTATACATTATGGCTGATAAAGTCACAACAAAATGATAGTGTGATAAAAAAATGACACCACTTTTGTCAATAGTAAAATGTGAGCCTATCCAACACCTCATGGGGAAACTTAAATTGCAAGGACTTACGAATGACGCACCTTATTACGATACTTATTACTGGGAAAGCCAGAATCAGTCATGTGACATAAATGGACAAAACACTGCTCAACTCACATGATGACTGTGCCTTTAAGACCTCCACGGCTCGACTGCATGACCCTGGACACAAGCGCTTGCCGTAACTCTCCTGGATCCACTCCCATCAGTTTGGATGCTATTGATAGGGATTTTTCAGAGCCAGCACATACTTGACATCCACCTTTTGTGTCCTCAGGGTTGTCTTCAAATGCAACATTTCCCAAGTGCAGCACTGAGGCTACCATGGTGTAGATGTTAAGTCGCTCACCTTCACCCAGACCCAACCGGCTCAAAGCCTACAACAAATAAATGACAACAAAAGAGAACAGCTACAGTTAAATGTTGACACTATATGTGTTATGCAATGCCAAATAAGATTTTGTATGGAATATTAGAGGAGGTGTTGGAGAAAGCATTCATGGTATTTTTAGGCGGTGCTTGCAGGAATCGAGGTTAATCACAAAGAATCGGTTCAGAGAAATAGTCCTCTGAACACAATTTAAATGTACAATTTGTTTGCAGCCTGCCATGATGTTTATCAGAATACGAGTGAACAGATAACTGTAGGTTAATATAAGAAAATAAATGATCTGTATTGTTCTCCAAGTAATTACATTGGCAGTAAACGCTGGATAGAACAGACATGAATGTACATAGAATTTTGGTGGGGAATTCTTCTTGGAAAATGAAAATGGAAATTTCAGTAAATCTTTAGAAAACAGGGTTATGGTGATATGGATTTAAGTAACTGAAGGTATAGCTGTTGTATGTTTTATGGAAGCATCACACTGCAGAATTAGAATTAGTAATGATGCATGTGTAGTCTAGACTTACCATATCCATATTAGTAAAATCTTCTACATCATCTAACATGGTATCTCGAAGACCTCCCTTTGATAGATGACTCCGACTCTTTTGGTTATTGTTCAATTTCTTCTCTGATACGCCGGTAGTAAAATACTGGGTACATCCACTGTTCAAATACTATGCAAGGATAAAAAGTCAACATTATAACAATTCCAGGATGTGAACAAGATGTGGAGACATTATAAATAATTTTTTATTATTATTATTAGTGTTCTGTCTGACGACAGGTCCATATGAACAGGATCCTTCCATCCTTTTCTCGGACTGGGACCTGTTCATATACGTTCTTGGCAGATGATCCAGAAGTGATTTGCCATTGCCTTCTTCTGTGTGTGAATGGAGTAATTGTTGGGATGCCAATGAGGAAAACTCCGTGTTGCCTAGGCCACGGCCTTGCCCAACACAAGTTAAAGTTACAGAGCGTTTCTTGTTCATGTGCTTATGCAGAGTTCAATGCATACTTTCAGTTTTTGGAAAAGAACCCCATTGAATGTTTGGTGCTAAGCAATGTTTTAGAAAACACTGCAATTGCCATTTTTAAAGTAGTTCTTGTACAGCCTCCACATGCTTTATTATATTTCTAAAAAAAGTGTGTACTTAAAGTCATGTAGAATGACACCGAAAGATAATCCTGTAGTATTCAATATATATAAATTTCCAGTATTTGAAAAAACAATAGAAAACCTGTGACATCTATTGCAATGTGAATTTACACTGATCATTGACCTCAATCTAGTGCCAAAATAAAGACATACACTTTCAACATTTCATGTAATTTCATGAAGATATCCTACTTTAAAATTCACTTTAACATTTCACTTCATGCTTAATTTTGGCAGATAATATGTCAAAGTCTGCATTTACAAAGAGAAAGAGTGGAAATCTCTAATTGGAAATATTTCCCCAACTGACATATATAATATTTTTTATAATAATCCTGACATCTGAAGTATCATATTTGTATAATATTAATTGCAATAATTTTTACTTAACTGATAAATTGATGATGAAAGGGAGAGATTAATCAAGCGATAAAAACATTAATCTTACATGGAAGTCGTCTGGCTTGGTGATGCTGAGCTGTTCCCGAAGTTTTTCAGGTGCACCAGCACAGAGGAGGTAGAAAACATGGTAGTTACGTTCATGTTCACTCTGTCGACAGATACGCGACTTTTCTAACAGATAATGGGAGATGAATCCACCAACCACCTGGCAACGGTTATCGAAGTGTACCTCCATGAATTTGCCAAAACGACTACTATTGTTGTTACGTGTTGTCTTGGCATTGCCAAATGCTTCCATGACAGGATTTGCTAAAATGGAAAAAGTTATAATTATACTTAATGTACTTCAATTTAATATTTCGTATTATAAACCTGAAACGGGCTTCACAAAACCCAGTCAAAGACAAAACAGCAGGTAAATAAGGACAAAGAAAAGTTATATTACCATGCATATTAGCACCTTGTGGCATAAAACAAACAAAAGTACCATGTGCATAAGTAAAATTAGTTATTCTGAAATGGCTTACTGTATTGCCATGAGAAACTTCCTTGTAAAATGCAGTCTACATAACTGTAACACAATTTAATTACATTACTTTTCAAGGATTACAAGTATTAACTCAGGAAAAGTTAAACTTTGTTACCTTCACTTATTATGAACCTGCATACAGTTGAAGTGCCTATAAACCTCTCAAGGTTAAGTGAACTGCACAGTGTTTATATTCAGATCATGGGTTCAAATCCTGGTCTGGAGACCAGATGTCCTGACTGAGTTTCATTATGGGTCTTTTCAGTCCTTCCAGGAAAATGAAGGATGTACTATAGAACAAATTTCTAACAAGTAAACTACCAATGAAATTATCCTTATATTTAAAGTAAAACTGAAATCCTGTTTGATGAACTCAGTATTCATTACTTGAAGATGAGGTTAAGAGGATATAATTTTGGGTTATTTTCGTACTTATTTATCAACATATTGACCCTTCTTTGCTTGCCAACCTGCTTTCAAAATATGTCTTACTCACCATCCAAGATTTTCTGTTCAATAGGCCCAGCAGTTGTTCCCCAAAGCTCACACACGTAGCGTAACAAGTACTTGGTTGATTCTGTCTTCCCTGCTCCAGACTCTCCAGACACTATAATTGACTGAGACTGCTTCAGAACTTTCATGTCACGAAACGACTTGTCAGCTGTGAATATGCGTTTTATTTATCAATAAATTTAAATATTTAACACTATACGGAATTTTGTTGCATTCTATCCAACGTATGCTAAAACATGCTGCAGTTAAACATCAAAATAAATTTGACAATCTTAAAATTAGAAAAATTAGTACGGTCTTGGTACTCTTTTGTGATAAATTAATGTAAATACACCTTAGTGAAGATCCTCTCTTTTGAAACTGAACATTAATTGGACCTGGTGGGGTGTCCTGTCAAAATACATAAACCACAAAGTTTATTAATGTTACAGTATTACATCTCTAGGATTTGAGGTTTTCACAGCGGTGAGTTTGAAGATGGCTGTCTTCTGGGTTGTTGCGCCATGTAGTCTGGTAGAAATTTACAGACATTACAGAGCATTGTGGTAATTATACTTTATAAGAACAACAGTGCACAAAAATAACTTTTGTGTTATAAAACCTATTTATGAATAGAAATAGATAAGACTGTTGTAACAAAGAATTCTGTATATAATATATTTTATGTCATTATAAATTAAGTTTCTTCAACTGGTTGCACATACATAAAAACACATACAAATATACTGTAGATACAAACATGTTTAAAACATTAATTTCAACAAATTCTTTCATTTCGGTTTGAACAAAATTTGTTTGGCGATTAATAACAGCATTATCCTGGGACTAAAGGGACTGACAGAAAACAAAGTTCACCATTCGCCATCATTTGCTACTGTGGACGAATACGTACATCTGTATACTGACTCTACTATTTTCGTGAATGACATTTTATTTTGCATGTTGTTTGTCCAAAATTGAACTGATTTTAATTTAATTATCATTTTACTTATCCATAACATTTAGCTCATTTACTTATTAATTATTTTGCAATAAATTAATATTGTACATTTACATATTCAGTTCATTGTTTGTTTGCTTTTGTTTTGTAATGTTCGTATTGTTGCTAGTGCTTGGCTGTTGTCAAGCAATTTAATAAATGAATTGAATTATTATTATTATTAATATGGTACATTTATACATTTAGTTTCATTTGTATGTTTGTCTTTGTATTTGTAATGTTTTACTATTATTATTATTGAAATGAATTTAATTATTTATTATATTTTATCCTGTATTCTGGTTTAGTGCTTGGCTGTTGTCAAGCACTTTAATAAATGAATTTAATTGGATATTGTGCTTAGACACACAGATAACTTAACCTGCACTGGCTGCATGTCACAGTAGCATGCAGCTAAGCAAATTAAATGCCTGAGATAAAAATCCAGCAGACAATCATGCAGTACCAGGGTTTAATTCCCCTAATCTATACAATTACGGAAACAGGTTCTTTAACTTATATTTGGAAAAGAATATAATCATTTGAAAACGAGATACATATGCAAATTCTTCTGTCTCCAACCACTTTATATCTTCTGTTTTGCATGCTATATATCTATTGTTGATTCATTGCTAAGTTACCATAAAAAGTTTAATGCATAAAGCAATCTAGTTTAAACTTAAAAGATATAGCACCATGAGGTACCGCGGTATATTACCTTACTTAATGTTTCGTAAACATTAAGAAACAAAGTTTCTGTATGAAGCAACCGTGAGTTTATATGAAGGGGTGTAGGATTTGTACAATTAACAACTGCCATAAAATACCACTTAGTAATAACTTATATTAAGAAAGAAAAAAAACTATAAATTATCATTTAAAATTATGTTTCTACACTATAATACTCTTATGACACACGTACCAATAGCAAAAACATGAGGTGGAAGAACACCCAGAGATTTTCCCTGATACGTCTTGATTGTGTTTGAAGAATATAAGTCTTTAATTTCAAAGTATGGGTTCACAGCAATTAAAATGTTGGCTACATATGTCTGTAAAAAAAACAAAATTCATTTGTAAATAAATATCAATTTCTCTTCCACATACACACTGACAGATTACAATTAATTATCTACAAAATGCAAGTGATTACTCACATAAATCTTGTCTTTCTTGTATCGGGCACGAACGTTGTTTAGTAGAGTTGCTGGATTGAGATACATTAAGGAACCTGGAACAATTCAGTTATTTAATAATTTCCCTTCAGCTATGGCCGAATCACACAAGCCAGCTGGTGGAATAGCCGGTCATTATTATATTAATGATCGTGAGACTTAACAGTAAGGTCTAAACGTTGCTCACAGACAGGACATTCTGTAAATTGATATAAAAACAATACATTTTTTTAGTACAACAATTCTTACAGTTATCTTCAACATCCATTTGATCATACTGGTCAGCATAGCAAATCTGTTCCAGGTTGCAGGTGACTTTGGAGCGCTTGGAATCTGCAGTAAGAATTGTAGCTTCTCCGTTGTGTCCGATGTCTTGAATCGTCCCCAGAATAAACCCCTCCACGGGGTCTGGGACCCACACTTTCTGTTTTTCCATCATCTAGACCAGTATCCTACAATTATAAAGAATTATAAATGACTGATGTCAAAGATTTTACATTAATGGCTTCTGTAAAAGAAATTAGTTATTAGCCTGAATAGTAACAAGAAGATTTATCTAGCAAATATGTAAACAATCCTGATAGGAAAGTGAAAAGTTACAATTCACACAAGCAAGGACAATATAACCCATACAATGATGTCATTGTTCCACAGGTTTAAACCATTCTATGCTGGTTACCAACCAAAAAGCCTCGTACTGTTATTACAATTACCAGTCAAGCACTCATGGAGAGTGTAAGCCTCAACTAGTTGGCTAACAATGCATTTTATCTCATTGGTTCTGTTGTGTTCCAATGTGTGGAGTACCGCTGAACCACAGAAGTGACACAGAATAATTTCTATTGTTCTTTTCCATGTGTTAGCCTGGCTAACAGGATCTTAAAACCTTGCATACGGTATAGTGTATTGGAATATAAAACATGCATACAAATAAAACTGTTTACACTTTGATGGACACTAATGGCATTAGTGTCCTTCAAAGTGTAAACAGTTTTGTTTGTATGCATGTTTTATATTCTGGCTAACAGATCTAGTAGCGTGGTTAACATGAATACTCCACCACAATGTGTGCAAAAGTTGTCCTTTTTCTGAAGCTGTCCTAAATTATAACTTAGCGGTTCGTGAGTCATCTGTCTGAAAGGTCAATTATCAAAATTCCAGAGTCACAAATATCAATAATCGTAACACCTATTATCAAAATGTCAACTGTCTGAAACGTCAATTATCCAAGGGACAGAGTCGTTAATACTAAAGATAAGTTAGAAGGTTATTCTTACTTGTAAACAAAAGTTTGTAGTTCAGCCTGTACACACCTTGCTTGGTGTGATATTGAAATTTGTAAAAACAAGTCTGTCATATTACTGCCGGAGTTCCTCCGGTGTTCTGAGGCGAATCACCTGCCTCAAGCTGTCACACACACACACACACACACACACACACAACTACATACATCTGGCATCAGTGTATTTTGTCGAAGCGTGACACATCAGGTTATGCACACGGGAAGCTGGGTACAGACGTGACTGAATGAATACCAACGTTTGACAATACCGTAAAATCTGTTTTTCATCATGAAGTGTAAGGAAAAACACGTTGCTCTCTTGACATTCCGTACAAAAGTTCAATACAAAACAAAAAAAATCTCTTTCGTAGTTCGTCTAGAGGCCTATATTAGTTCCAAGGATTTGTTATTTGGCCAAGTGTCATCATTTTGAAAACAGATCGTATGATTGTAAAATGTCAAGTTTATCACAGCGGCGAATATGAAGATAACCTTCTGGGATGTTGCGCTCTGATGATGGAGGCAGGAAGTATCTCTGAGGTCAATTTCTACAAGACTACAAGGCCCAACACCCCAGAAAATGCATCTTTAAATCTTATTGGAGAGGTTATAAGACGTTGAATGAAAGCTAAAAATTGCTCAGTTGGTAAACAAATCAATTTGTATCATGGACTAATCATGTTCCAAAACCATGGTATGTTTGGACATTGCATAATCCCTTGTACCGCTTGTCAAAACAAATTGCCATGTTTGAAATTTCATCAGTCACTAAAAGTGTACGTATATTCCGATTACTTTAATATCCTGTTCAAATACAGATATATCCGTCAATCGTTCTGTCCATTTATCTTATGATTTACTCCATACAGCACTTCTCCGATAACACGAGACAGTGACAGTACTTCTTCCTCTATCTTCAAGGAGAGTAAACGCGTTTGATAAGCACGGTGGTAGATATAAACTACCTTCACAACTCCAGCACAAGGTAGACACCGCCCACAGATAAAAGACTCGGTATTATATATGGCCCTATATAAAAGTCAGTTTGATGTTTGCATGCGCCCACAGTGGGTACTGTGTAATTGCATAATCTACCAGGAGATGGCTAAACAAAATGTTGAACTCTGGCAATCTGTGGAATAGTAGAAGGCTCAACAGCGAGAACGACATTTTCTAGTTTCTTTATTCTGTGACGCAGTACGTAGCATGGACAGGTGAAATGAACGTGGGAGACTGCAGAGGATTGATACGAAAGAGATGTAAAGAAAGAACTGGGATAGAAGACGAGATATAAATCATTTCCCGTTGAATTACAACCATTACAGACCATTCCACTAACAAGTTACAACGAATATGAAACAAAAATAATACGTCTTCGAGTTCCCAAGACGAATTCGTAACAGCTGGGTCTGAATATTATAAATGTTACCGTTTTATATTGTACACAGAGGCCAAATCCTTCTTTCCGTTCTTAAAAGCTACACCCTCTATTCGAGTAACAAACATTCAGGTTATACAAAAGGAGGATAAGTTCTTGGCTAGCTGAACGACTGCTAGCTTCCCAAGAAACAAAGATGAAAAGTTCAGAACACAAAATGTGCAACCTATACAGAAACAAGGTGCTCAAAAATAACTATCCACACCTTCCATAAACATAAACCGAGCTTTAAACAGAATATATAAAGCACGTGTGATGTTTCTGAGACAGAAGTATTAATTGCTTATCGAGAGGATCAAATTTTAATGCATGTACGAAACTCGTACGGTATGTGTTATCCCTGTAGTTAGGCTCAAAATTATCTTATTTCAACGTTATCAGCGTTTTAAGACTAAGTTTCATTCCTGAGGTGGTTTGTCACCACTCCATAAAAACGTGTCAAGTAGGCTTGTCTAATTAACAAGAAATACATGACATCATTCACTTGGAATTATCTTATGGTTTACTTTCCTTATTACAGAACTAAAGATTATTCATATAAAACTATCCGTTGTCTTGTACATTTGCAATTTTTTTGACGTAAATACGTCTATAAGGAAGGGTCATTCGGCAAAAAAGTGTAACGAAAAAGGGATCTAAGATACACAGAACAAAACGCCTAAGAGGTCATTTGGACCTAAGAAGGTTTAAGTAAGAGTACATGGGAAAAAATAAACAAGTCGAGACTTCATAAATCATACATTTTTTACCTAAAGTAGTTGACGAAGTTTGAGACAAATAGCGCGTTGAAGGAAACATTAAATATACGCAAACGTTGGCTGAAAACCTTCATGGATGTAGGATTTGAGGTTTTCACAGCGATGAGTCTGAAGATGGCTGTATTCTGGTAGAATTTTAACAACGTTTAAGTGGTCATCAGCGAGGCGAGTAGCCCTGATGATTGAGGCAGCAAGCACCTCTGAAACGTCAGTAAAGTTCTACCAGACTACACGGCGCAACAACCCAGAAGACAACCATCTTCAACTTAACGGATGCCTCTGTCAACTGGCGATCGATTTCCGAACCACGAAGTCCAGACCTTCTGTCCAGCGGATACTGGATACTCCCTCCTTATTGGTCATCATCTAGTAGAGATTAATACGTGAGTTCTACATCCACTCCCCCATAAATCTCCACGATGTAGTGGTTAATTAACCCTTTAGAGCCCAGTGATTACTGTTTTAAGCCCCGTGATTACTGTTTTAATAATAATTCTGAATTTTGTGTTTATGGATTTCGTATGATTCTCACTGTGAACAGCGATTATTTCATAAACAGGACTGACCAGTTGGTCTTTGTAATTAAAAATCGTTGTGTTTGGTTTGCAGTAGGGACTAAGTGTTGAAGTCAAATTCAGATAAGTTTCGGCTTCAAATGATTAAGCATTAAGGACATCTTTTACTTTACGCCCCAGACAGTCGCTAGAATTTCCCGTCCTCCGCAAACGCATTGCTGTTTCCTGTCCATCCGCCCCAGTGAGAGTTACGAGGGACTTAATTCTCCTCTCCTGCTTTTGAACAAACACTCGACAACATTATTATCGTCGAGGGTGTTGCATAGAAAAGTGGAATTTCAGGCGCGGTCCGAATCAATCACAGGAAATGGAGCTGTCACGTATGGGCTAACGGAACTCCGCTGGTGGACGGAGTCACTGGTCAGCCAGGAAACACGCTCAGCTGATAACGCAAACAATATTCCACCTTGGCAGCTCCTTTGTTCCCTGTACACATCGAGTTTGGAACTACGTACAACTGAAAAAGTGTAAGGGCTGCGATCAACCAACTATTACAGGAAATCTCACGTCGACTTGTTTCTAAAAAACCGACTCATTTTGCGTTTTCGAGCTATTTATTCCACCAAGTCCGTCGGAAATACGAAGCTGTTGGAAGGTCTTCTCTAACGCTTACTTTGGGATGGGTTTAGAACGGTCGGTACTAAAACAAGAAGTTATGGGAAGATTTTAAAACACATACTTTAATTAAAATGCTTCAGTTTGCATGATGAGGCTAGCAAGAACTATAAATTAACAAATATGCAACTTATTAATCAGTCTCTGTGTGTAATTTCGTCAGGTAGATATATCGATTGAATTAAATCTGCCAGATTGAATAGCAAAGTTTCGCGCAGTCACCATGTTTGCTTTACATAAATTCTGACATTTGTAACAAATCTACTGGCTGGGCATGTAGCGCGCATGGATGGGACAAGA